CTATGGAATGTTTATCAGTATCACTGGCCTCTACCCTCTAAATGCCAGGGCTAACCTTCCTCAGTTATGACAACAACAAAAACTAAAGGTGTCTAGACATTGCCAAATGTCCTTTGAGGGGCAAAATCACACCCATTTGGGAACTAATGATTTATATGAAGGAATGAAGAACACCAGAAATGGTATGATATTGGCAGATATGTAAGTTTTTTTCTTATTTTTAAAACCTTTTTAAAACACAATTGACTTTTTAAAGTCAAAAATAATTTCTTTTTTAACAACAAATGCTTTCATTTTTAAAACATTTTTTTAAAAAGTAAGATATTACAAATTTTATAGATTTCTGGGGTTTAAGAAAAATGTGTTTCATCATAGCATAAAACCTGGGAGAAGAAAAATACAGAGTTCCACTCTTATATATACTTGTACTATATGAAAGTCATATACCATTTGAAGTATGTAACTATAAGCCCTAAAGAAGCCACTAAAGTATCAAAAGGTTTTAGCTAAAAGTCAACAAAGGAGATTAAATGAAGTATTAAAAAAAATTAATTCAAAAGAAGAAAGAACATAAGGTAAATGGGACAAAAAACAAGGTAAAACAAATATCAAAATGGTAGACTTTAACTACACAAATAATTACAGTAAATGTAAATGATCTAATGCTTTTAGTAAAGAGCTAAGATTGTCAGAGTGTATAAATAAAGCAAAAACTCATTTGAACATCATTTATAAGAAATGTACTTTAAATATAAATAAACAAGCAGGTTAAAATGAAAAGGATGGAAAAAGATACAACATGTAACACTAGTCAAAAGAAATTTGAAGTGGATATTAATATTAAACAAAGACAAAAATAAAGCAAATAATATTACAGATAATAAAAAAAGTCACTTCACTAAGATAAGGGTTAAGTCATCAAGAGGTACAACAATCACTAAAGTTTATGTACCTAACAAGAGAACTTCAGAAACCATGAAACAAAAACTGATATATGCAAAAAGAGAAATAAAGAAATCTACAATTATAATCAGAGATTTAAATCCCACTCTCTCAATAATTGATAGAACAAGTAGACAAAAACTAAAGGACATAGAAAACATGAACAACAATATCAACCAAATGACCTAATTGTGAATTTATTGAATGCTCCATCCAACAACAGAAGAATACACATTCCTTTCAAATGTATACATCATATTTACCAAAATAGTCATATTCGGGGCCATGAAATAATTCTTAACAAATTTAAAATGCTTCGATTCATACAAAGTATGTTTTCTGACCATTAAATTACAAGTCAATAACAGAAAAATCACTGGGAAATCTCCAAACAGCTGAAAAGTAAAGAACACAATTCTAAATAACCCATGAATCAATGAATAAAGCAAAGGGAAATTAGAAAATATTTGGAATTGCATAAAAATAAAAACATTAAACCCCCATTTTTATGGAACAACACTAAAACTGTACCTAGAGGGAAACTGAGAGCACCAAATGGCTATAGTTGAAACTATAAAGGATCTCAAATCAATAATCTCAGATATCACCTTTAAAACTAGAAAAAGAGAAAGTTAAATTCAAAGTAAGCAGAAAAAAAGAAAAAATCAGAGTACAACTCAATGAAATAGAAAACATAAAAAACAATCAATAAAACAAAAAGCTGCCTCTTAAAGAAGATGAATAAAATTGATAAACCTGTAGCCAGAATGATCAGGGAAAAAAAATGAGAAGGCACAAATTATCAATATCAGCAATGAGAGAGGTGGTATCACAAGAGTCTACATGCACACACACACACACACACACACACACACACACACACACACAAAAGATAAGAAGAAGATATGAACAACTTCCTACCTATAAATTCACAACTTAGATGAAATGGATAAATTTTTTCAAAGACACATACAATCAAAACTCATGTAAGAAGAAACAGATAACCTGAATAGCCTTGTATCTATGCAATTGGATTTGTAGCTAAAACCTCTTCAATAGGAGAATCCCAGGTTCACATGTCTTCATTGATGAATTCTACTGATTATTTTAAAAAGAAGAATTTCAATTCTGCATAAATCTTTCCAGGAACTTAAAGAGGAAAGAGTACTTCCCAAACTATTCTGAGACTAACATGGCCTTAACACCAAAATCATACAATAGTATTACAAGAAAACTATAGACCAATCTTCCTTTTGAACACAGATGCAAAAATTCTAAACAAAATATTAACAACTAAATCAAAAAATCTTTTAAACAGAACACGCATCACAACCAAGTGGGACTTCTTCAAGGAGTGCATGGGTGATTTAATATTTAAAAATTAATTAATGAAATTTAGCATATTGGTAAACTAAAATTGAAAAACCATATAATAATCTCAATAGGTACAGAAAATAATTCAACTAAATCCAACACCTACTTATGATTTTTAAAAAAGCTCTCAGTCAACTAGGATTAGAAGAGAACTTCCTCAATCTGATAATAAATATCTGTGAATAACCTACAGTTATCATTTTAATTAATGGTGAAAACCTAATTGCTTTCCCTGAAGATTAGTAACAGAACAAGACATTCACTCGCTCCACTTCTATTTAAAATTCTACTGGAGATTTTATACAGTTCACTCAGGCAAGAAAAAGAAAAAATATCTAGACTGGAAAGGGAAAAGTAACTTTTCTTTATTTGAAGGCAACTTGACTTAATTGTCTACTTAATTTTATCTGATGGCATCTGACATCAACAACAGCAACAAAAACTAATAAAATTAATGCTTATTATGCTTGTAGGATACAGGATAAATATGCAAAAATTATTTATATACTGGCAACAATCAATAATTAAAATTAAAAGCACCAAAATAATAAATTCTTAGGGGAAAATATGACAAAAGATATCCAAGGCCTCTACAATGAACACCTACAGAAGCTGAACAAGAGAATTTGAGAAGACCTGATAAACAGAAAGATATGTCATACAGGAGACTCAATTAGTTAAAATTTAACTCACTGAATTGTTCTATAGATTCTATGCAATCTATGTCAAAATCCCAGAAGTCTTTTTTTGTAGAATTTAATTCTACAAGCCAATTCTAAAATTCTTATAGAAATGCAAAAGATCTAAAGTAGACAAAATGACTTTGTTGGAGCACCATCACATCTTGGTTTCAAGAACTGTTATAAAACTACAATAATCAAATCAGTATGGTATTAGTATAAAGATGGCCAAATAGATCAACACAAGAAAATAGAGTCCCAAAATAGATCCATGTGTATGGACAACTAATTTGGAGTTTATACTTAACTTTTCCCGAGTGCCTACTGAGTACTAGACACTCCTCTAGACCAGGCATCCCCAAACTACTGCCTGCAGGCCACATGCGGTTCCCTGAGGCCATTTATCTGGCCCCCCGCCGCACTTCAGGAAAGGGCACCTCTTTCACTGGTGGTCAGTGAGAGGAGCACAGTATGTGGCGGCCCTCCAACAGTCTGAGGGACAGTGAACTGGCCCCCTGTGTAAAGTTTGGGGACACCTGCTCTAGACAATGAGGTCACAGTCATGAACAAAAAAACACCCAAATCTCTACCCTCAGGAATCTACGTTCTTAATGGGGGAGATTGAAAATAAACAGAATAACTGCATAAGATATGCTTTCAAGAGTGAAACATTAGCAACGATCACTAAAGCCAGGAGTATGTGTCTGTACTATGTGTTGAGGCAAGAGGATGTGTTGGAACTTCAGATAAAATGTTTAGGAAGGTCAGAACAGGGAGGAAGTGAGGGATTGGGTTGTAGAGACACTGGGAACAGTGTTCTGGCAGAGGGAACAGCAAATGCCCACCGAGGAGGAGCAGGGTGTGCTGGATGAGAGGAAAGGGGCAGGGGAGGGGTGAGGAAGAGAGGGGGCAGTGAGGGTAGGATGCATGTGCAGGGAGAGGCTAGGAAGCGCTCTAGATCACACAGGGTTTATTCCTGAGTGAGGAGGAGAACACAGAGGAGGAATGGGTTTCTTTGGTTGCTGTGTGGGAAATAGATTCAAAAGCTCAAGGATGATACAAGGAGATCAGAGAAGGGTGTCTTGCAGTCACCTGTCTGAGAAGCCATGGTGGCTTGGACCAGGGGTTTGGCAGGGGAGGTAGGAACGGCATCCAGCTCTCCATATTTGGTGGAGGTGGAGCTGATGGATTGCACATGTGTATGAGAGAAATACAAGTCAAGACTGATATGGAAGTTTTCGGCCCAAGCAGCTGGAAGAATGAAACTGCTCTTAACTGAGAGTTCAGGTGTAACCACTTTCCAAGATTGCTTCAAAACTCCTTTCAAAAAGCAGTGTCAGAGCCAGGAAGGAAATCCAGAGTTTTCAACCTGCGTCAAATGCCCTTTCTTCCGCACTGCGCTGCACACCACTGCATGAGAAAGAACGGGAGGCAGGGCTTGCCTTCACTGGGCGACAACTTTACTGGGCATGCCAGCTTATCACAAACACCATCCTGGGAGCAGTGCAGAAGATGTAGTCACTCGGAAGAAAGATCAGAACTCTCAGGCCTCCAGGCATCCTGACCAGGCAATTTCTTTAATTCATCAGCTTGATTTTGTTGCCACCCCAGCCCTCAGTTGGAAAGTGGGTATTTCTTGGTTTCCCACAAAAATATGGACTAAATTTTGAAGAAAAGAAAAAGGCTGTTGACAGAGAAGTTCATTTGCTACCTGATTAGCCATCTGCTTGAAAACAGGTAGCAGCCAAACAATTTAAGAAGAAAATTTTTGACAGAAAAAAAAATGTAAAATTGAGCTCTTTCCTTATAATTCACAGAAAGGAAGGCGAGAGTGTAGTTTTTGTAAAGCTAAAATGGACCCAGTTTGTGGGGAAAAAACATGTTTTGAGGAGTGTATTTTGAGAAGGTCTGCCTTAGGTAATTTAATATGCATTCACACTGGCTTCTGCCACCCCTGTAAATGCAGTAAGCAGAGCTGCGGAGGAAAATAGCCATCTGTGGGTTCTGACTTCAGCTGCAGAAAAAGGGAGCTGTGGAGATGCCAGCAGCTGGCTCTGTGGAGGAAGACGCAAGAACATCGCTTCCGAGACAGGATACCAGACAGGGCTGGGAAGCTGTGGGTTCTCAGGCAAAGAGCTGAAAGATGCTGTCGCTCAGGTCAGGGGAGAAGAGCAGGAGGGCTGGATCCTTGATGGTCTCGGAGTTAAGGAGGAGAATGCAGCTTGGACCCACAGGCCCCTCCCTCAGCATGCAAAGATTTCAACCTGGGGCATCGAGACTGCTGATGAGGCCAAGAAAAGGCTTTTACTCACACAGTTAAGGTGAGCTGGGTGCGTGTGTGCATGCATGTGTAAGGGGTGGGTGAGTGATGCATGAGCAGAGGCAGGTGGGTCCACAAGGCTGAGCAGACACTGAGACTGCCGCCCCCGCACCCCAAGGAACAGGCAGGACGTCTTCCTTTAGGAATGTGTCTGCTGCTGGCGGAGCCCAGGTGAGGGGCTTTTGTAACTGTCATCCAATGCGTTAGTCGCTACCCACATGTGGCTGCATAAACTTTAAACTGGTTAGAACGACACAAAATTGCAAATGCAGTTTCCCGCTTGCACTAGCCCTGTTTTAAATCTCCATAGCCACCTGTGGCCACTCGCCACTGCTCCAAGTGTATAGATACTGGACATTTCAGCCACTGCAGAAATGGTGCCTGCTGCAGCTCTGCTGGCAAAGGAGAGTGGCCACTCAGCTGCCTGTGGATGTAGATGACCCTGCTGACATCTGAACAGCTGCTCTCAGCACCTAAGCTGCGTCATATAGGGTGGATCTGGGGCATGCAGGGAGAATCCCAGACTGTCAGAGAGATGGCCTGGCCTGCAGTGACCGGTTGGGCTTCTTGTCCTCACGGTCACATTTTCAGAACTGGGGGCAGGAATCCTGCTGGTGAGTCTCCCAAAAACATTTCATTTTACCCAAGAGTTTGTATTTTCTAAATCCTGGTTTGCAGTGAACCTTTTATAACAAAGTATCTTTCAGGTTTCTACATGACTGCCTTAATTATGAGTTTTTGCATTTGCCTTAATATAAAAAACATGTAAAAATGGGAAGGCTCAGGGGTGATGAACTCTGTGGTGTGACTCTGAATGGGTTGCTCAGGCTGTCTAAAATTCAGTTCCTTCAACCATAAGATAAAACAGTAGGAACTGACAGTTTGGGGAAGCTACGACAGAATCTGAACTAACCGTAGTTCTGGAAGCTAGTGAATGACTCAAAGTTTTAGCCAGATTCTGAGGAGAAAGGGCAGGGATAAGCATGGACACACAGATCAAAGAAGCGGTGGGTGATCTCACAGCCCTACAGAGTCGGAGAGAAACGAGACCCCCCCCCACACTGAGCCACTGACCCCAACTCCTAAAAGTGTCAGAGCCCCAAATGAAATCCAGAGTTTTCAACTTCTTGTCAAATGCCCTTTCTTCCCCACCACACTGCACACCACTACATGAGAAAGGATGGGAGGCAGGGCTTGCCTTCACTGGGCGACAGCTTTACTGGGCATGCCAGCTTATCACAAACACCATCCTGGGAGCAGTGCAGAAGTTGTAGTCACTCAGAAGAAAGATCAGAATCTGAGGCCTCCGGGCATCCTGACCAGGCAATTTCTTTAATTCATCAGCTTGATCTAGTTGCCACCCCAGCCCCCAGTTGGACGCTGGGTGTTTCTCAGTTTCGCACAAAGCCAGCAGCGAATTCATCATCTGGCTGCAATGAGGAGAGTCACAACACGGAAACACAGTCCTTCTTTCCGACTGGCAGGCCGCTTGCAGGGTCTGTTTTTGCTGGTCGTAGCGTAAGCAGGTGAGGGTGTTGAGCCTCCCGATGGCGTCAGCGGCGTTCCTGAGTTATCCCTGGGAGCTGCAGATCATTGCAACACAGGGCTAGAAGAAGCACCTGCTGCCGTTGGGAGGATTTGTCCCGTCAGACACTGGGCAGCCCTGAGGGAGAATCGAGTTGTGAATTTCGTCACCGGCATACTGACATAAATTGAGCTGAGCTTGAATGTCACTGGCCACTCGCTGGCTCCAGTGGTCTTTCCCAACCAGAAGCCACTGGACTCGGTGACAACAGCTCTGTAAAGTGTCAGACTCCAGCACAGGCCTGCCAAATGACCCCGGGCAACCCGAAGGTGAAGGAGCCTCTCACCAACCGGAGAGGGCTGCACTCGCAGCGGAACGCTCCCTGAGGAGGAACATTCTGGAGCCTGGTCTCATTCACCCTCTGTTCTCCCTTACACTTGTTTGTCAACATGATGAATGAGAGGCAAATGGCAGGACCACACTGTTTCAAACATGTGAATTGATTTTTTTCCCTGGGCCTCTGGGTTCACTGACCAGAAGAAAAGACCTCAAATAAAACCGGATGTTTTCATGAAGCGAACTTTAACTTTGCATATATTACATCCAATTATCAAATGAACAAAAGCTATGTACGGATTAATTTACTGTTTGGCAAGCATGCAGTCACTCAATCATTAGTACCATGGTAAATGATCAAGTATAAAATAATGCTTTGGGTCTGGATCAAAGGATCTGTTTTTGTTTTTTGTTTTTTGTTTTTTCACAAGCAGACGGAAAGAGAAACGGCCATTTGTTCAAAAAGAAAGTGTGAGTTTGGAAGGAACATTTTGGTCACTCAGAATCAACTCAATGACTGTCATTGAAATTTCACAAAAATCTTGATTCTTAAGTGAATTGGAGACAACTCAAACAGGACAGGCTTGCCAAATTTGAGTTTTTCAATAGAAGCCACATTATTCTGCGAGTCTGAGCCCAGAGCTCTGATGCAAACGGGATTGAGAGGCTAACAATATGAGCCAGCAGGTTTTGCTGCAGTTCATTTTTGTGAAAAGAGCCCTATAAAGTCAGCAACCCAGAGGTGCTGGCCCAAAGTCTGATTCTCACTGGCTGTGTCTAAGCCATCTCACTCTCCCTTTCTGAACCTTCATTTCTTGCTTCTCTGATAAGGAATCTGGACAAGTAGTTCTCACGTGGGGATATATGGCATGTCATGACTGTGGGCATCTAGTCAATAGAGACCAGAGATGCTGTTCAATATCCTACAATTTGCAGAAAGACCCCTCAACAACAAAGAATTATCTGGCCCAAGATTTCTATTGCATTCAGGTCAAGAAATCCTGGTTTAACCTAGATTTACCTCATTTTCAACAAGATAACATCCAGCTTCAACATTTTACGGTCCTACAGCTAGTTCAATATATTTCTTCCATTCCAGATCCTTTAGCCTCAATATAAAAAATAATTTTTATTTTATTTTATTTTGCTATTTTATTTTTTGAGATAGGGTCTCATTCTGTCACCCAGGCTGGAGTGCAATGGTGCAGTCAACAATTCACTGCAGCCTCGGCCTCCTGGGCTCAAGCAATCTTCCCACCTCAGCTTCCCAAATAGTTGGGACTATAGACATGAGCCATCATGCCCAGATAATGTTTCTTTTTTTATTTTTTGTAGAGACAGGGTCTCATCGTGTTGCCCAGGCATGAGCTACCATGCCCACCCTAATTTTCATACCTTACCAAAAATATGTGGGTGACAGGAACTATGTTAATGTATAAAGGAAAACCAAAACAACAGAATAAAGCTTCCTAAGACATTGGTAACACACTTCTAATAAATACAATGGCAGTTTGTAATGACTCAGAGTCTTCCAGGGTATAACCTATAAGCCAGCAGTAAAATTAATCTTTTGGAAAATGACCTTAAAAATTGTTTGCATGATGTTTGCTGAATAAATGATTCATCAGATATCTTTGGTGCTGGGGAAAAAAAAAGCCACATAGGTCACAAAAGCCCCATACTATGAGAAATAGGGAGACGTGGATGTCTATGTATAATTGCGAGTTTGGGACCTACACACAGACTTTAAAAAGAAAATAAAGCCAAATGTTTTCCCCACAGAAACGCGCTTTCTCATTCATTTTTTTTTTTCCAATTAGAGCTTTGTTCAGAAGAAGATGTATTTTCTTTGCTGACTTCCCCTCCCTTCCCCTTAAGCCCGAGTCTGATTCCCCTCCTTGGGAATTCCATAAAACCTGCAATACTTGAACCATTGCACTTCTTGCATTTTATTATAAATGTTGGTTCATTTGTCTGTCTGGTCATTTGGACTTTGAGTTTCTTGAGGAAAAAGCCCATGCCTTGTTTATTTCTGTATCGTCAGTGCCTAGCCCCGGTGGGCATACAGTAGGTGCATCACAAATATTCATTGACACCATTAACATCCAAGACTTAGCAGACCTGGCCGCTCCTCCCACGCAGAAATGCTGAACAGAACCATTGTTGGAAAGAGAGCTCAAAAGTAAGAAAGGTGCTAGAGTCACAGAGTCACAGAAGGAAACTGAAATCAGAGAGGTGGCTTTTGAGTTTCAACATGATTTGAGTCCATAGGGTGCAGTGAATTCCTTGGCAGTGGAGTTTAGTACCCAAGGAGAATCAGAATTTGTGGCCTCATGCTTGTATGTGCTGAGAAGCTGAAATTACCCAAATAAAGCTAAGGGTTGGGGGTAACTCACTCCCAGGAACTCAAAAATTAGGTGATCTGAAAAATATTGTAAGTGGTTCTGTTTAAAAAGTTTGCATATATAAACCTAACGTGTAATATAAGAACACAAAATTATGCTTAAAAAGAATAAGGAGAAAAAAAAGAATAGAAAAGAAAGAAAAAAGAGCAAGGAGACTGACCAAACACCATAAATACAAATTCAGCCATGAAAATAAAATGCCGCAGACAAGTTAGACTGTAAACCAAACACAACCGAAGGGAAAGCTAGAAGGCTGATACTCCATCTGAGAACGCAAAATACGCTTTGACCCAGAACACTAAAGAGATTGAAAATATCGACAAATAGTGAAAAGAAATGGAGAAAAGAATGAAACGCTCCAGCTTATTTACAGAAAGATTCCAGTTGCGAGTTGAGAGAATGGAGAAGAAACAATATGTGAAGGGAAAAAAGGTAAAGAATTTTCCATAAGAAGCCTTACTAGACTTCTCCCTTATAGCGATGGACCCATTTTTCTCTAAGGTTTCATTGCTGCCTGCGTTACTATGATCTCAGAGACTCAATATCTAGGAGAGTCTAGGAGAAAGCTGCCTCCATGTGTTTCTCTGCTCTGAGTGCTGTACTTTGTATATATACTTTAAGTTCTGGGGTACATATGCAGAACGTGCAGGTTTGTTACATAGGTTTACATATGCCATAGTGGTTTGCTGCACCCATCAACCCGTCATCTACATTAGGTATTTCTCCTAATGCGATCCCTCCCTAGTCCCCCACCCCTGACAGGCTCCAGTGTGTGATGTTCCCCTCCCTGTGTCCATGTGTTCTCATTGTTCAACTCCCACTTATGAGTGAGAACATGTGGTGTTTGGTTTTCTGTTATTGTGTTAGTTTGCTGAGAATGATGGTTTCCAGCTTCCTCCATGTCCCTGCAAAGGACATGAACTCATCCTTTTTAATGGCTGCATAGTATTTCATGGTGTATATTGGCCATATTTTCTTTATCCAGTCTATCAGCAATGGGCATTGAAGACCACATGCCCAAGCATGATATTACAGACTATCATTCTTTGGGACTGCTTCCACCATCAGTGTTAGATCTCTAGATAGAACTCTCTTCCCCATCCAAGGCTGCTTTGGTTTCTTTGTATTAAGTAGCTAAAGCTTATTGGCCACTTACCACATGACCATCTTGGGAGAGACTGAATATACACATGAACAATGGCAAGACATATAAAGTCAGAACTCTGCAATCAGCCCCAGAAGCCAACCCACTACCTACAGCTAACATCTCAGGAAGCCAAACGACAACCCTTGTAGCAACCAACCGAAGATGCTAGAATTTGCTTAATAACTGATGGCTACCCCCATTTCTATCCCACTTGCAGCTTAGGACCAACTGGAGAGAGTGAACTATGTGCCCTAAGCAACCACAGAGGGTGGATGCATCGCCTCTGAACAGCCCATTTCCTTCCAGCTTGCCTGGCCAGCAGCCTCTGGTCAGCACACACCTGACACCTTCTCTTTTCTGCTATGAAGCTTCCCCACTCCTCTGCCTGCCTATGAGTCTCTGCCAGAACGCACGTGATGGCAGCAGATTCCCTTGCTATAGCTAGTTCTGAATAAACAGTTTTTGCTTGTTCTCATTTGAGTGGTTTTTGTTCATTTCCACACTTGCTTATTTTAGCTTTAGCACACATTCTTTTTAAAAAGTAAATTACAGATCCTCCTCAACTTACAATGGTGTTCTCTCCCAACAAACCCATTATAAGTTGAAAATATTGTGAGCTGAAAATGCATGTAATACACCTAACCTACCAAACATAATAGCTTAGCCATGTCTAATTTAGCCATGCTCAGAACACTTACATTAGTCTATAGTTGGGCAGAATCATCTAACACAAAGTCTTATGAATACCACAGTGAAAGTGAAAAACAGAATGGTTATATGGGTAAAAAAGTGTGATTTATTCTGAATATGCTTAGCTTCCACACCACTGTGAAGTTGGAAATTGTAAGTTGAAACATCGTACATCTGGAACCATCTGTATTTTACTCTGTAAAATACGAAGAAAATAAGTAAAAATAATTTTTCAATTCTCAGTTATACAGTATTTTCTTCACATCATGTTCCTTTTTTGCTTGGTTTGAGTAAATAAATATGGCATGCTGGTCCCCTAATTTGCATCCAATCCTGTGAAAATAATGCCTGTAGGCAACCTGTCTCTCTATTCTTGGATCAAATAAACCTAAACTCTGAGACTTGATGTTGAGGAAATCCCAAATGTAAACAAAACTCTTTGATCACTTGCCCAGTGTCTCTGATTTCAACCACAAGTCTACAGGTCTTTTCCTAGTCTCCTAATTTGTCTTTCTTAGGAAAATGAATTAATGGAGGAATTAATTATATCAAAGATACACTTGATCATTGTTTTCTCATGTTTAGTAAGGGTAGTAATCCAAGGAAATGGAGAGGAAGTAGGTAGCTGTGGATCCAGGAACCAGTGAATCACATACACACCAGCCTGGCTCCACATTAAGCAAGAGCCTTTTGAAAGAAGGAGGGAAATACGTATATATGCGATGATGAGTAATCTGTAACATCAGAAGCATTATTGAGCTCTTTATCTGTGCGTGACATAAAAGACCTGATTTACCACTAGCAAATCACTAAGTCCTTAAGTTGTGAAATTAAAAAAGATCCCTAGCCATTAGTTCATTTCCTTTTGTTTATTAATAAAGACAGTATAAGCTGTTAACTGACCAGCTTAAGGTCACAGAGCAAGTTATAGAGCATCTGGGACAAAGTACAGATTCTTTTCTGGGTCAGGACTTGTTCCATTATACAGCAAGATGCTTACTGAACCCCTCTCAGCTCCAAAGCTGCTTATAGACTTTCATGTCTCTAATTTGGGGATTACGGAATCATTTGCGTAACTCTAAAATCCAGTGGAATTTGGCTTTATTGCCCCCAATTTATGAGTTACTATTTCAATACCTCATTTGATTTTTTTTTGTCAAATAGCTTTCCATACTACATAAATGAGTATGATATGGTTCTCACTATGGATTCCAAATTATTTTAGGGTTTTCAAAAATGTCAGCAGATTATATCTTTTTATTTTTCTTATTCTCAAGCTTTTTGTGATTCCATTCAACACATCCTACTAAGACATGCCACTACTCCTGAAAATCATTGTGGTTTTGTAACACAAAATCACTTCAAATGAGTATAGAGTGTGTATATATGTGGGAATGGCCCTCACTCCACCCTGCATTAGAAGGTCTTTCTTTAAAACAAAATTCAAGGCCAGGCATGGTGGCTCACACCTGTAATCCCAGCACTTTGGGAGGCCAAGGCATGGAAATCACCCGATGTCAGGAGTTCAAGACCAGCCTGACCAACATGGAGAAGCCTCATCACTACTGAAAATACAAAATTGGCCAGATATGGTGGTGCATGCCTGTAATCCCAGGTACTCGGGAGGCTGAGGCAGGAGAATCGCTTGAACTGGGGAGGCAGAGGTTGTGGTGAGCTGAGGTCGTGCCATTGCACTCCAGCCTAGGCAACAAGAGCGAAACTCCATCTGAAAAAAAAAAAAAAAAGAAAAAAAAAAAGAAAGAAATTCTAATTTCTCATCAGGACATTTGGGGACAATGGAAGAAGGCGGATGGGAGTGAGGTGAACAATGAAAGAGAGAGGCTGAGGCCAGCGGGGCAGAGAGAGCCTGCGCACTGCTGGGAGAACAAAGTCAGAACCAGGCCCAGGAAATCTCTGATGCACACAACATCCATGGCAGTCTGGGACCGATCAGTTACCCTGCTTGTTCATCCCTCATCTCTCCCTTCCCATTCTTTAATGAGGGGAGAGGCGATGAAAGGAAGGAGCGGAGCAAGCCGAGGAGGGGAAGTTTGGTGGGGCTCTGTCTTAATCTGCTGGGGCTGCTGAAACAAAATACTTTAAACTGGGCAATTCATAAACAACAGAAATTGCTCACAGCTCAGGAGGCCGAAAAGTCCAAGCCAGCAGATTAAGTGTCTTGTGAGGGTTTCATAGACGGTGTCCTGTTGCTGCCTCCTCATATGGCAGCAGGGGCAAGGAAGCTCATCAAGTCCCTTTATAAGGGCACTAATCCCATTCACAAGGGTAGGGTCCTTGTGACTTAGTCACTTCCCAGAGGCCCCACCTCTTAATACTATCACGTTGGGCATCAGCTTCCAACGTATGAAATTTGGGGTGGGGGACACCGACATTCAGACTGTAGCAGGCTTCGTCACTAAGAAAACAGGAGTGAGATTATGAGGGCCCAGAGGTTTCAGCAAGAAGCGAAGGAGCAAAGATGCTCCCTGCCTTGCCATGAAGCATTGCACAGAGTTACTACTAGATTCAGAAATCCCCCGCCATAGCTGTGTTGGCGTCTAGGGCTCCCGTGACAAAGGGCCGCAAACTGGGTGGCTGAAGCCAACAGAAACTTATTCTCCTGTGGTTGTAGAGGCCAGAAGCCTGACACCCAGGTGTCAGCAGGGCCACGCCACCTCTGAAATCTGTAAGGGAGAATGCCTCCTTCCCTCGTCCAGCTCCCGGGGTGGCCGTGGATCTGTGGTGGTCGCTGGCTCACAGCTGCAGCACGCCAGCCTCTGCGTGCATCTCCACAGCCATGTGCATGTGTCTCTTCTCCTCTTATAAGGATGCCAGGCACGTCGGACCAGGGTGCCACCTACCCCAGCAGGACCTCAATTAATTACATCGGTAACAGCCCTGTATCCAAACGAGGTCACATCTGAGGTGCCGGGGGTTAGGACTTCAACACAGATTTTAGAGGAACACAACAGTAACCTTCAGTCCTTTTTTCCCATGGTGGCTGTGCTTACAAACCTTCCAACAGAAAATCCTGTGTAAAAGGAAGGACCCAGGGGGTGAAGTCTTTCTTGCCCAACAGGCTTGAAATAAGAGAATCCCAGGGTCCCCCAGGAGCAAACAGTAGAGGCTGTGTTACGTGGCAGGAAAACACAAGCAAGCTGATTTCCCCTCCTATGCTCTCAGCACAGCACAGAACACTTCTGTGACCAGATGTGCGGGTTTTTCCCCACACATCCATTCCGACACTCTCTACTGGGAGTTACCATCACTGGTTAAGGGCCCAGTCCCACAAAACTGCCTGCATGATGCCAATTGTAAGGCTGGGGCTCCAGAACTTCCAATGGATTCGCTATAAATCAGGAGTTCCCACGACTCCCTCCTCGGGCTTGATTCATTTGCAAAAGCCTCTCATGGAACTCCGGGGAACACTTTACTTACATTTACTTGTTTACTATTAATATCAAGGATATTGTAAAGGGCACAGATGAACGCCAGATGGAGAGATGCGCAGGACAGGGCATGGGGAAGGGACACAGAGCTTCCCTCCCTCCGGGCCCTCCCCTATGTCCACCGACCCAAAAGCCCTCCACACCCTGTAGTTCAGGAATTTTTATGGCAGCTTCAACACATACGTGTCATCGATTATTAACTCCACTTCCAGCCCCTCTTCTCTTCCCAGGGGATGGGGTGAGATGAAAGCTCCAAGCTTCTAACCCTCCTCCATGCAGGAGGCCACCAGGAGTGGCTCCATTAGAACGAAAGGTGCTCCTGTCACCCACGAAGTTCCAGGGGTTAGGAGTTTTGTGTCAGGAGCTCACATCAAAGACCAAATATCAGAACAAAAGATGCACCTAGCAGCCCTGTTGCTCAGGAAATTACAAGGGTTTTAGGAGGTCTGTGCCAAAACTGGGGGCAGAGACCAATAGCTATTTCTTATTGAAGCACAGCACCACAGTCCACCCCCCGGTCGCTGGCCACAGATCTCTTACAGCAACATGATAGACAACTTGAAAGATACTGCCAGTTGACTAGAATCCCATTCATCCATTAATAGTTAGTCCAGTCCATCATCATATTTTATGGAAATGTCTCCCAGGGTGGGACTACTCAGATTTGCAGGCTTCCACCCCGTCCCTTAGGGCTTCAAAAGCAGGAGTGGTCTCGGCAAACCCATAGCCTTATCCTTTCAGACATCCGGGATAACTGAGCTAAGAGGCAATGCTATCTCTTGCTCTGAACCGCTTTCAAAGTGTTAATGTCATATGAGACTTTCCTCATGGCAAGGGCCTTTTATTCACTCATTTACCCTCAGCTACGATTTCTCCTTCTCTTTGTTTGGACCTGAATGTTTCCACTCTTGGAAAGGACACTCGGATCAGCCACTGTGCTGGTCTAGAATGCCGGCAGCATTACCGCTCTGCCTCCCCGTCGGTCCACTCCGTTCAGACAGGGTACAGAACAGTGGGCTATATTTACCACCAAACAAAATAGCTTCATTCCGTGTTAGCCCCAATTTTGCCAGATGGGGTGAAGATACAACCCATCTGTGAGGCTGACCAAAAGGATGGAGAGGCAGACCCAGGGTCAGGTTCAGCAAGTTTATCTCAACCTGCCAGGCTGGCTGCCTCACCACAGACAGTGACGGCAGCAGCCTGGCACACTGACTGTGGAAGTTATGTAGGGGGTTCGCAGGTAGCCGGGTGCTATTCTAAGAAAAACCGCATCTTAGTTCTTAGGTGCTAACATTCTGCTTAACTGGGTCACCATCCTGGGTTTGAGAGCCAGGTGCGACCAGGTCCTGAAACCCAGGCGCCCTCCTTAGAAGGTTTGAGGCCGTTTTTGCTGTGAGCTCATCTTCGCAGGGGGGAACGGGGAGGGGGTCTATGGGCTTGCCTTGCTGTGACCCTAACACCGTCCCCATTAGGCCCGTGGGAATTCTGATGCAAGGTTTAAAAACACGGCGACGGTTTCCTGCTTAGGAATCATCCCTGCTGCCAGCACTTATAATTGCAGCCCTGGTCCTATGACCCCTGCATCAGGTAGGGAGTAAAAAGTTAAAGTGACGTGGAGAGGGAAGGAAAAAAAAAATGACCGCCATTATACCTGTGTACTTCTGCCTTGGCAAGAACGGCTTAGTCATACCAGCGTCCCCCCACCCCTCTTGGAAGAACACACTGGGGGAGCACGCCTTTAGCCCCACTCACACTGAGTGTGCACTATACTCGTGAAGATGTGCAAGCTAGCCCTTCATGTCTTCACTGCCCCGCATTTGGGAAAACCAGTGTTTTAACTGACCACCCGACTTCTCTATCAAATTATTACTCTGAGGAGGCTAGCTCTGCCCATTGCTGGAAATGATGGGCTGTCATAATCCATTTTCACTCAAGGCTCCTCAGGAAGCTGATGATACTGATCTACAAAATGAACAGTCCCTTCACACTACACCTCACACTACACATCAGTGTGTTCTCTGGTCTAAAGAAATGTGACTGGGCCATCCAAACTGGCGCAGTATCTTCTGTTCTGGTTTTCGAACGGTACAGTGAGTATTTGCATCTTCCACCGGGTCAGCAAAGCCCAGGCCAGAGTCAGTGTCAGTATCTACACAGAATAGGTCTAGATTCAGCCCGTCTCTGCACTGCTGCAGTTACCCACTTATTTTGTGGACCCAGCTGGCCACCTCAAGGGAGGACATAGGGATAACTGCTTGTTGACTCCAGTCACCTTTTGAATCTGGAAGGGAGTTCTGATGAGCGTTGACTTGTTCTACTTTAATGCACACTCAGATGTCCACCGGGCAGTGTTCCATGGGGGAGTCCTTCTAGTAGCCAGGTTTCCATGGCCTTCTTGCTGAGTATATGGCCAGGCCACTGGTCGCAGCCTGAGAGTCAATAAAAACCCAAACACAGGAGCTCCTACAACCCTTCAAGTCTTCCATCACTGTTAGGTAACAGCACGCAATTCGGCCCACCAAGCTGATTTGTTTCAATTAGCAATAATCGCGCCTCGGATAAACCTCATTGGCTACGATACTGCCACTGCGCAAAGCTCAAGCTGATTTGTTTTAACTTGCTTTGATCAAAGTAGCCCTTCCTACAGGACTGTGTCTGTTCACCCTGGAACTGCCATCCACGAACCAAGCAACTCTTGGTCGGTCAGTTGACAGAGGTTGACAGGGCTCTGCCCAAGTGACGTAATCCAGCAGATCCTCACATAGCTCCAGATTCAGTCCTAGAGGAAAATGGGCTCCCTGCTCATGAGAATCTCCTCCTTGTATTCCCTAGGCAGCATGATCCTGTATAAACCACTTCCATTTTATTACAGGACTCTTCTGGGCACTGTCATTCCTATTGGAGCATTTCTCTGGTATCACCCAAGACAGCAGGGGTGTTTCATGTTTTAAGATCATTTTATGTCCTTCAGTCATAAGAGTAGCTTCCACTAATGTCTGAGACCAAGTTAGTAAATGCCCTTAAATGAGAATTCTCCAGTCCAAAGTCCCAGTAGTTGCTGCTGGGAGGTGCTCACAGGCTTTGATGTAAGCTCCAGTGCACGTGCCACACAGACCTGACACAGAGATAATCTGGCCCTACCAATGCTCCAGCTTCAATTCTCCCCTGTGGGCTCAGATGGTCTCCTGGGTTCCCATTTAGCATGCCCAATTAATATTCCTTTACACGGGTAACAGGCATGTTTAGCAGGTGAATATCCCGGTCATCAAAAAGACAGTCCCACGTGGCTTAGCTTGCACACAAAGCATGTCAGCTGCTTCATCTGGGGTGCTCCACTTCAGTCATGGGAGGAGACAACAGTCTCTCTTCTCAAGATAAATAAAACCTTACAGTGACTGTAACCAGTCCACCAGGCAGGCTGTTCCCTTGAGAATAACCTGCTGAGTTTCTGATCACTTAGAGCCATCAGGGTTGTTCCATAGCAAGCTGTGGGTACTGCATCCACCCAAACACGCTCTTCCATTCTGCAGCATTCAAAACCACACACTATTTCTGAATTCGTTGCTGTCATAATCCATTTTCACTCAAGGCTCCTCAGGAAGCCGATGATACTGATCTACAAAATGAACAGTCCCTTCACACTACACCTCCTGGTTTCACTGATCTGCTGCTTTGGACCTCTTCCCACGTGGAATACCTTCTGGTGGCCGGAGATCTTAGAAATACCTTCTGTTGTTCCTACATAATTTTCCCCTCGAGAGTGGCTTTCAGGCCAGTGGCTAAAGCTCAGACCCACTGAAATCTGAGCTTGGTCCGGCATCAAAGTCTGACCCAACACCATCTTTTAGTTTCATTTTAGCTGCAACTTATGACAATAACCAAGGAATTGAACATTTCACCCAAGTTTGCATTTCCTTACGCAGCAGGTGAACCAGCTCCCTAGGAGTTGGAGCCATCTGTCAGTTCCACTTCACTTTCAGTAACTGAGCACAGAACAACTGTGGCTCCATACGTGGGTGACCACGTGGCCACCAAGGAATCAAAGGTTCCTCACGTCCAACACTTTCATCATTTCTCTTCCCAAACCATGTGTTTCCGAGAGCCAGGGTTCTTCTAACAAATCCCACTTCATTGACACCAACTTGCATAGTAGGAAAAATGAGGCAGTAAAAAAGAAACAAAAGAAAGAGTGAATGGATTTAGGAAGGTCTTTTGAAACTAATAAGGTAGGAAAGCCATTGAAAGCTGACAGAGGACGCCACCAGAGGCACGAAGATCAGAAGGCCCAAGGTGGATCGTGGATAACGTCCTTTGTTGGAGCGGCTACATTTTGGTAGCTTTAATTTTGCCACTCTTGTTTTCTCCATCTGCGTTCACTTTTATTAATAAAAAAGTATTTTAAAATAACAGACAAGGTACCATGTCACCCATAAATATTTCAGTATGATGTATTCTAATTAATTAGGCCTCCTTTTTTAAAGCATGACCACAATGACCAGACCTAATGAAATTACAAATAATTCTTTAATAACGTTTAATATCTAGTCAACATTCAAATGGTCTGAAAGATCATTTTCTTCACAGTTATATACAAACTCCTTGGGTCTGGTTTGACACCTCATTGGGTCTGGTTTGACATTTCTGAAGTCTCATGGATTCCTTGGAGAACCCGGCTCATTGGGAGAATGTCCTGAATCCCGCATTTATCTGATTGCTTCCTTTTATTGTCATTTAACTTGTAACTTTACACCCAATACATCCTGTGGACTGACAGATTTAGAGGTTTGAGTGCATTCAGGTTTATGTTTTAGGTTGTGTGTTGTGTGCTGTAACCAGTTGCATTACAATAGGCAGCCCATAAAGTCAAGTTGTTCACTTTTAGTGATGGTGTCAACCTGACCCCTCCAATATGAAATTTCTCATCAGCATTTTACTTAATAAACTTAATATCTATTGCAGATCAATGCTGAGACTCATTATTTCATGGGATTTAAAAAACATCATTATAAACTCATACTCATAGATTTTAAAAATATACTTCATGTATTTCAATTCATTGCAGTTAATTTTTTGTGGGGGGGGCGGGATAGTCTCATTTTCTGTTGCCCAGGCTGGAGTGCAGTGGCACAATCTCAGCTCACTGCAACATCCACCTCTTAGGTTCAAGCAATTATCCTGCCTCAACCTCCCGAGTAGCTGGGATTACAAGCATGTGCCACCATACCTGGCTAATTCTTTGTGTTTATTTTTCAGTAGAGATGTGGTTTCACCATGTTGGCCAGGCTGATCTCAAACTCCTGGCCTCAAGCAATCCACTTACCTCAGCCTCCCAAAGTGCTGGTATTACACCATGCTCGGCTTGTTGCAGTTAATTTTTTGTTGTTTGATGTCCAAATTCCCCCACTTTAGGTCAGTGGTAGCATCTTCAGATGGCCCTTGGTCCTGTCAACACAGCCAGTAGTCTCGGGTTTCTTGTTTCTTTCATTGCTATAATTTTTTTATTGCCCGACAGAATGTCCCAGACTCTTAGTGTTGATTTCCTTCTTCTGATCTGAAATCAGCACTTTTTCTAAGAAGATGACTCTTTCTTTTATCCACTTCACCCTGCTCCAGGCTGAATGAAGTCATTAAAAAATTAAAATGTAATGAACTTTCCTCTCTAGCCAGATCACAACAGCTATACTTCCAGCGGAAAGCCACAGCTTTGCTGTGAATTAAAAGACCTGCTTCAGACACCTATTTCTTTTAATCAGTTTGGAATTAATTCATGTTAACATAATATGTTCCCTTGACTCCAGCACATGCACCTGTGTTGAATCCCCTTATCATCTGCGGTGGGAAGGTGGCATGCTCTGTTTTCCCTAAGGCTCTGGATAAACAGTCAGAAAATAATCACCTGGTCAAGGGGGAAATTGGTTGCTAACCCAAACTTTTAAAAAATGAAAGCAGAGAATTATAGCAATGAAAATCTTAAGGATTCTTCTCTTACTGTTCTCCAGGAGGCCTCTGTGAGATACATAAAGGACATCCTCTCTGTCTCTTCCAGATTCACTCCCTCTTTGAAGAAAGCAATGCAATCAAGAAATTGACACACTCCTGGGTTTCTGGAGAGGATAAATGCCCAAGAAAACTCAAACTGTATTTGGATATTAATAAGAACTTTTCTTTGGCAAACAAACCAATGTGAAGGTCCAGAATTGCCAGACCCAAGAGTTCGGAGCAGTGAGGTCCTGTGGCATGTTTTTAATTTTTTTTTTTTTTTTTTTTTTAAGGAATAGGGTCTCGCTACGTTTCCCAGGCTGGTGTTGAACTCCTGGACTGAAGCAATCCTCCCACGCTGGCCTCCCAAAGCACTGGGATGATAGGCATGAGGCCCACACCTGTCACTGGTCCTGCAGCATATCCTAGCTGCATGCTTAACCTCATGGAAGGGGAAGGAGAAAACAGCTTTTTCTCACCCCTGGCTAGATGCATAGCTGTGGCCCCTGCTAATGTGAGACAGATTAACAAAGGAAAATCATACACATTTATCCATGTTTTACAAGACACCAGAGGCTTCATAAGTGGAGGCCTAAAGAAACAGGAAAATCTGAATATTTTTAAGCTTAGATTGGTGAAGAGTAGACAGTGTGAGGAAGTGTGATTGCACAAACAGGGTGTGATCTAATGCCAATAAACTGGGGGAAATGTAGCAAGGTGTGTTTGTTCAGACTCTTCTCTGTGTTCATGTGTCTTCAGAGACAAGGATGCTTCTTTCCTCCAGGTATCAGGAGGGCACCTCTCAAACCGAGGTCCTATGACTGACCTGCCTCGGGGAGAAGAACATGGAAGGTGAGAGATCTTTCTGCCTCTGCCGTTTTCTCAAATGCCAAGGTTCTGAATTTTGGGGTGGCATGTCCTAAACCCCATTGCTAACCTGGAAGCCTAGGGTCAAACGAAATATTTGCACTTAATTTTACATAGAGTAATAACACAGCCTTTAAAAACAAATATCTGACAGGAAGAAAATTTAGTACTTAACTGTCTGGGTCTTTTACACATGGATTCCCCAGAGCTCTTCAAAATTACACCCATGAAGTCCACTGGGTGGTCTCTGTGGATTTGCGTTAGGCTCATGCTTTGTCTTTTAGAGAACAGAGCCCAGTCCTTTTGTGATTTCTAGAACTACAGGCTTGGTGTCAAGATTGGGAGTATAAGAGGAAAGTAGAGAGGGAACCACGGGAGGGGTGAGTGAGCCACCCTCATGCCTCCTCCTCTCCTCACCAGGACAATTCCAATTTCCTGGCTCAGAGGAAATTAGCACAGAGCTATCACTTTGTAGGGAAAATAGAACCAATAAAGATAAATGAATAAAATCAGAAGGAGAGTTCTGGTCAGCCATCCTGGAAGCCCCGCTCGGTGGGATGGTGATAGAAGTGGTTTTGCATTGCCTTCTGCACACTGGACTCACTGAGGATATTAGCCCCAGCCCTGCATGAGGAGATAACCTCTGGCTCTACGGTGCCAGGAAACCCACCCAAGTGACATGCCAGGCCCCAGACTCCTCTCCTGGAGGCAAGAGACAAACCAAAACGGAGCTCAGGGCTGCCCCTGGTGGTGGTGAGAAAAGCATGTCCGCTACATGGGGATCTGGGGACATTTATTCTGAAAAGACAAGAGTCACAGTTAAACGTAAACGTTAGCTTCAAATATCCAAACTTCTGGGTAGGAAGGTTTTAACTTAATCTACCTGACCCCCAAAGGGAAAATAATGTCCAAATGTGTGAAAAGTTCTGGGAGATGAATCCTGTTGCGCTACAAGAATGATCTTTCCAGCAATCTGTGAAGTCCAACAGCAGCCTGGATTCAGCCAATACTGAAAGCATTTCTGTGCAACTACTTGGGACAGGTATTGAGGAATCGAAGTGTCAGATGGGGCTGCCTGCTGTCCTCTAAGCCGCCCTCCCTCCAGGAGACTCTGAGATCCGCAAGTTTGGGTCAATGCAGATCAGCTGCTGCTGTTCCTGGCCAGAAGCCCTCCACCCAGCCCACCCTGCAATGACACAAGAGGGCGGCATGGAGTTGAGGAAGAAGACCAAGGCGTGCGATGCATGGACGGGGCACACAGTGAAGAAAACAAGGGAGGAATCGAGGGTGAAAATGTCTCTGTGAATGACTTCCAGCTATTGAAGCCACTGTGCTCAGTAACAGTCCTATGTGATCTCATCCATCAGCGCTCTGACTTAGGGATAATGGCCTTTTTACAAGCGGTATCAGCGCTTGCCCAGGTGACATGAATATGTTAGGGCCAGACTGGACTACAGTCCGGTCTCTGCTGACCCTCCCCTCTGGTCCCACTGCTTTTCCCCCATAGTTGCATAGAGGACAGATGGCACCCATCACTGTGAGGCAATCTATTTCAATCATTTTTGCCTCAGGTGGATGTCAACTTAGCCAAATGGGTTGCATTGATCTCAATAGACCAGATATTGATTACCAAATCAATAATCTTGCTTAACAAATGACCCAAAAGCCTACGTTCCCTTGCTGATGGGTCTCACTGCTTTCGCCCCATCATCCTTCAAGTACCCGATGCCTGGCTTGCCATGGGGTAGAAAAGATTCATCCACTCTAACTTCCCACCCTAACTGTCCCCTTGTCCTCTTGTGCGGGGGGCCGAGAAAGTTAGACTGGGAACAATTGGCCTTCCTCAGTACTACACAGAGGATTGTACACTGTGGCAATATTTATTTACATTGCAGAGAAACCTGATAAGTGACTGAGAAATACTTTGACATTTATTATATTACCAGATTCTATGGATTAAATGATCAGGTTATACTCCAGTCATGCTTCTGAATACGTAAGCACCCCATAAATGAAGTGACAATTTCCCAAACTGTAGGCTCTCTACCCCTCCTTTCTGTGGCTTCTTTCTCTGAGTTACCCACTGCCCATGTGGCTTCGCTGCAGGGGCAGTCACCTAATGGGATTGATTTTGTGGCAGCTCTGCTGTGACTCGTTCATCCATGGAATAGTGTTGAGTGACAGTGTAAACACATTGCTGTAAGCAACCTGAAGTCTGAACTTCTTATTGGATTGTTCCCCCTAAGTAATTCATAGTGAATTTCAACATTGTTTCCCATTGGTCAGCAATGCTCTTCTGGCCCTTACCTAGTGGCCCTTGCTCACGACGTGAAGATCTGATGTCTTGACGTGGATCATATCCGTGAGTAAAACCCAAGGGCATGTGTCTGTAAATTTCTTATAAGAGGCAGTCAGGAGCATCTCTGGGCCCCCTGGAGTGGAGTAAAGTTTAACAACTTCTGTCACTTTTTAATTCTTTAACTCCCCCTCCTACAGCTCCTTGATGTGGAATCGGTGCAGACAGAGCAGCCTTGGCTTCCAGCACATGCACTCATGATACTGGCTGCAACTGGGAAGTCCCTAAACAGATCTGAGCCCCCTCAATCAGCTCAGAGCAAATGGGGCTGGCAGCGGCCCAGGGCGCCATGCAGCAGAGTGCCTCTGTGTGCCCGACATAGCTGCAGTGGAAGTTAATGGATGTCATTGCCGGCGCCCTGCTTTTTTAAGAAAACAAGAAGCCTGCAGCTGCAGCAAGAAGAAAGACCCCTGCAGGTCACTCCTTTTAGACTATGTTATTACACCCACTGACTACTCAATACAATAAAGAAGAAGAAGGAAAATTGGGTTAACTTTCTGGTATTTAGTTTGCAGATATGTCAGCAGGCCACCTTCTCTACTTGGCAGGATCACAATGTAGTAAGGATCCTTTTGTCCACCAGGAAAGACAAATTTCCTGTTTGTCTTGCAACCAACACCAACCTAAAGACACCCCTGGCCTATGAGAGCAGAAAGGGGGTGATCCCTTTCTTCCTCCTCCTAAGGCTCACAGCCAACAACCCTACAACAGGACAGGTTAACAAGACAAAAGCAGGACACATTTATTTGATCACAGTTTCACGTGACACAGGAGCCTTCGGAACGAAAACCCAAAGATACAGGGAAAGCTGTGGACGGCAGCGTAGCACTGTGGTTGGACACAAAAGGTAGGAGCTCATGTTCATAGACTGGAGGAAAACTCAGGAAGGCCTGTCTGTTCAGCTTCTTCCCGGCCTCTCTGTGCAGTAACACTTCCTCCAGGCATCAGGGGCAGGACCCCTCTGGAATGCGGGTCTGGATTTCTTTAAGGCTCACTGTTACACAGAAAGGCAGCGGGGAAGTTACAGTGATTTCTAGGGTTTCTGGCTAGATTTTATAAGATACATGGAGGCCAAAAAGATACACAGCTTTGGGGAAAAAAAGAGTCTGGCTCCCGTGAGCCGATCTGGGGAAGAAGGATTCTCGCTTCTATGGCTTGCCCCGGGAAAGAATGGCCAGTGAGAGGCAGGAGGGCAGAAGGTTGGAGAGAGACCTCGCTCCTGAGGCCTTCACAATGGGGCATGGATTTCTTAGCCCCAGCAAACCCAGACAGAAAAATCCAGGACAAGAGCACAGTGCCTTGGATACACCTGCCTGCATTTACAAGTGACCTTTCTGCGACATGAGCACTTTACTCTTTCTCTCCAGATGGGTTAAGGGGAAGGACCCTTCAGGGATGAAACGCAGGAATTCCAGATTGGAGCAAACACTTTGAAAAAGCAGACTTATAAAATCTAAACAGCATCAAAACAAGCAGCTCCAAAATACATCCCGACGGCTCTTGTTGTTGGTTGGAGAAAGAGCCCAGTGGTCAGACTTGCAACCCACTTTGAATTTGGACCAGGGTTCTGACCCAGATCCTGATTCACATCGCCCTGGGCCTTGTGGCCAAACACGTGCGTTTTCTCCTTAGCGCCTTGGAGAAAAGGCTGGGGGTGTGCGTGAGATAGGAGTATATTAAGTTCCTGGCTGCTTGGGGCTCTACAGGAAGATTACTGGGCTGTGATAGGGGCCAGCACTCGGATTCCCTGCGGTGGGACACAGAGGAAGGGTTGTTTGTGCTGCTGGCGTGGAGCACCGACAAGCCTGTGGAGAACCTGTTACAATAAACACGACAGGCATCCTGGGAGTGAGCTCAGGGCATTTGGGAACCGCTGGAGGGGTGCACCTTTGAAGTCAGCTGGACCAAGGAAAGGCCTGCCCCGAAGGCTGGTCACTTGCAGAGGTAAACTCCCCGCTTTGACTTCTGGCCAGGGTTTGTGCTGAGTCGGCTGCAGCCGCTCTCAGCCTCGCTCCGGGTAGCTGGGGCAGCCTCAGGCCCGCCTGCCTGCGGGATCATGCCCACCGTGGACGATGCCCTGGAGCACGCAGGGGAGTTTCACTTTTTCCAGAAGCAAATGTTTTTCCTCTTGTCGCTGCTCTCAGTTGCCTTCACGCCCATCTACGTGGGCATCGTCTTCCTGGGCTTCACCCCTGACCACCGCTGCCGGAGCCCCGGGGTGGCCGAGCTGAGCCTGCGCTGCGGCTGGAGCCCCGCAGAGGAGCTCAACTACACGGTGCCCGGCCCGGGGCCCGCGGGCGAGGCCTCCCCAGGCCAGTGCAGGCGCTACGAGGTGGACTGGAACCAGAGCGCCCTCGGCTGCGTGGACCCCCTGGCCAGCCTCGCCACCAACAGGAGCCGCCTGCCGCTGGGCCCCTGCAGAGACGGCTGGGTGTACGAGACGCCTGGCTCCTCCATCGTCACCGAGGTAAGAGACTGAGCCCGGGGCTGCGATGGCGAAGCAAAGCATGGAGCTTTTCTCCAGGAGGCAACCAGGGAAAGCCTGGCTCTTATAAACTTTGCCTGGACTTGCTTTTTGGCCTCCATGTATCTTGCAAAATCCCAGTTTCCAAATGAAAACATGCAGCTTCTCATTTGTCTGGAGAATGAGTGGATTCGTTAAAACGTCCTCAGATGCTGACAGCAATGACTCCAGTTAGTGCATGTCCCAGCAGTGAGAAAGAGGCCAAAGCGTATCAGAACCCCTGGAAATGCTGCCGAGATAGGGAACGTTGCGGCTCCTCCTCTTTTTCTGGAAGCCTTACCTCCCCCTCTCTTCTTCCATCACACGGATGCCCACACCCACCTGAAACTGTGGAACCCACCTGAACTGTGCCTGACCGTGTGACATGACGTGCTTTTCTCTCAATGCCTATTTTTTCTGTTAATTTCCACAAAGTGTTCATATAAGATCATTTGAGCTGGAGATCATGCTATGGCACTACTATTTTGTTAAAACTACAGATGACATCAAAAGCTAGTTGTGAAGCCTCATTTCAATAAACATAATTTTAAAAAGGTAAAAAATGGAGGCTTGCTTTTATTGAAAGCAAAGCAAAATAGGGTGATTAAATTATCCTGAAAATACTGAAAGAGCCAGTTGCCTAGTTTAATTTAAAAAGACTCCTTGGATAATGGGAAGATATTCTGTATGAGCAGACGGGGAGGTAGAGCCTAATTTGAAGGCTCTAAAATGGTCAGATAGTTACAGGAAATATGCAGCTCATACTCTCCGAGGCTCTCTCACATGGCTAATCTCATCCTATCCTACAGAGATGAGGAAACTGAGGCCCTAAGCAGAGAAGAGTTTTTTCCCCAGGCCACACAGGGAGTGACTTAGCAGAGTTAACCCTAGAGGTTGGAGCTCCTGGACCCAGTCCAGCACCTGCCCCACCTGATCACCTCCTCCTATTTCAAATGAGAGGAAATGCAGCGGCCTTCAGCAGATGCTCCTAACCCCCTTTTATTAAACAGACAGCAGGGAGATGCTAAATGGCTCAGCCTCCTGGTGCCTGCATTGTATCACGTCCACACACCTATCTGCTTGTGCATTGATATTAGAAAGGAAAAAAATACATTTGTGTGTAAGTGGAGTAATTACCCAATTTCAACTAATTTAGCCAATGCTATAGTTTTATCTTAATGACAAATTGCCAGATGGAAGGGAAGGGCTTTTGGTTGTTTAAGAAAAATCGAGGTTGGGCACAGTGGCTCACAACTATAATGCCAACATTTGGGGAGGCTGAAGTGGGAGAATCATTTGAGCCCAGGAGATCAAGGCTGCAGTGAGCCATGACTGCCACTGCACTCCAGCCTGTGTGACAGAGCAAGACCCTGTCTCACCAAAAAAAAAAAAAAAAAAAAAAAAAAGAGCGAGAGAGGAAGAAGAAGTAGGAAGAGGAAGAGGAGGAGGAGGAGGAGGAGGAGATTGACATGATCAATAAACAGTGGCTTATTGCCACGGAACTACACAGTTCTACTCAAGGAATATTTAATGCGTACCCTAGCTGGGTTGTGTCCAACGGGATTCTAACAGGTTTTCATTTCCTTTCTCTCCCAATTTGGAACACATCTCCCCTGCTGGCAGTTTAACCTGGTGTGTGCCAACTCCTGGATGTTGGACCTATTCCAGTCATCTGTGAATGTAGGATTCTTTATTGGCTCTGTGGGTATCGGCTACATAGCAGACAGGTAGGTTGAGCCACCTGTGGTGGAATTTAAATAATCCAAAGGTTTGGAGAACCCTTGGATGCACCTGTCCCTGCTTGAATCCCATCCTTTCCCAAGCACACAGACCACAATCTCCTGGCCTTTATGTCAGTGTTTTTATAATCTTAGATTTCTTCTGCTTCTTGGATAATCATGACTGTCTTTATTTTCAAACTCTCCAGGGTTACAGACAGTTGTTTCAACATTACACAGGAAGTCTTCCACGTGGGCTATGCAGAAGCTTAAAGTCGGAAGGGAGAGTAACAGATGATCTCATCCCTTTTGTAATTCCCAATTCATTTTTTTGGCCTTATTGCCCTCCACCTGCCCATCAGCCTTCAGGGCCTCTGAGTTCAATCCTATCCTCTGCTTGTCTGGCATATGCTGGGAACCCCCAGCACCAGGCCCAAGGTAGAATCTCCCTATTACCTGTGGGATTGCAAGATTCCTGAAGTAGGTTCCTGGGGCAAGATGTGACTGTATGTGTGGAACCCACAACTTAAAGAAAGAGAAAGAGAGTCTGTCTACAATGAGAGAGGTAAATGTCCACCCCTACAATGTCAGTGTCCCTGGAGAGATGACAAAAGGCCTCTCTGATGAGTCTGTGTCTTCAGCAAGCTAGTAGTCAGTGTTCATACAAATCAAGCTATTGCTATATCTTACTTATCCAGCATTTTGAAATCCCACACTCACTGTGTTGCAAGTTCTTTATAACACAGCTTTGCTCTCTTGATGACTAATGAGATACTTTTAGGAGTCCTCAAAAGGAAAAGGGACCAAAAAGTTTGCTTCGTAGTTGATAAGCACTTTAGCTAATTTGGCCATCAGAGCTAAGTATTTAATATTCATAACACTGTTAAGGAGTGTTTTCCATGGCCGGACACTGTGCTCAACATTTTGGGTAATAGTGTTCCCCTTAATCAGTAGTCACCTAGTGAGCTCATGATGCAAAACTATGTATCACTATATATAACATACAAACATATAATTATTATCTAGATAGAAATATATGCTTACATACTTACATGTAAAATATCAATATATAACTGAAATAAATAGTAAATGCATTTTTATGCTTGTTGCCCTCCCATACCATCCCCAACTATATCTATGATATAATCCAAACCTGTGATTTTAATGTTAAATGCAAGTGGAATATTTTATCTGATTGTATTTTATTGTTAGGCAGAATTAAAACTTGCAAATGTGTTAAAGATTAAAAGTGATGGCTTAATATACCACATCCCCAAGGCATATGCACGTCACAGGGGCCTAGGGCCCTCCTGGCAGCAGGAGGGAAGAGGGGTAAAAGCGGAGGTACGGGCCACATGCCTCTCATCCCTCACCCGTGGTTATTATTGTCTCCTCAGCTGCGCTGGCAAGGCTCTCCCTGGGGCTTTCTGCGGGAGGCTTGCAAGGTCAAAGGGAAGTTCATTTGTTTTTATTTTTTGTTGCAGCAGAATTGAGGATGATTGTTTAGAGATGACCAATTAAGTCAGGAGCGACACATTAACAAGGGGAGGTCTGGAGTCCACTTCACACCCCTGGGCAGCCTGGCCCTGCAGGCATTCACTCTTTCCACACTCCCTCTGCCACCATCATGTGGAGATGCTAACACTCACTCCCTCACTCTCTGGCAGGCTGGGAGTAAATGGGTGACTCAATCTTTAACCCTTGCACAGTGGGTTAAGAAATTAGTTAATTATTCACATCCCACTCAACAAGTAGGAGATTGGTTATAAATCCCTACTGACAGTGCATTCCTGAGTTACAAGCCCTAGTCAATTATCTGCCTACTTAAATGATCTCATTATTTTGTTACTGTTGTTGAAATCCCCTCTGTCAAGGTAAGTACTCATTATTTTTCCCCAAAGGCTGTCTCCATGCCACAACTTCTTTTTCTATACCATCTGAAGCTTGGCTGGTCATTGCCCGTCTTTTGTTCTGTGCCTTCGTGCAGGAGTAAGAAGTGTGGGCTAAAGAAATGAGAAAGCAATTTGTTTTTTGTATAGTTAATGCCTACAATTTTCAGATTTTATACAATGGGACAAGAATGTCATGGATACCTATTATATTCACAGATTAAACTCACATTAAATAAAACTCATTGTCCTCCATGGATAATTTTTAAAATATGGTGTAACAAGCTGATCAGGTAGGTATCCGTTATAAAACAAAAACAAACAAAAAGGCATTGTGAAAAGATTGTAAATGAGATTAAGAATGGATATAAGAATATACCCATAACTTCCTAATGAATGACTTTGAGTATCACATAAGACAAAAAAAGCAATTCCTTACCAATTCCAGGGTTTTTTTTACTCTAATGAGCAGTAACTATAAGTGCTGTGGTATTTATTTTATTTTATTTTATTTTTTAGACAGATTTTCATTCTGTTGCCCTGGCTGGAGCACAGTGGTGCCATCTCAGCTCACTGTAACCTCCACCTCCTTGGTTCAAGTGAATCTTCTGTCTCAGCCTCTGGAATAGCTGGGATTACAGGTGCCAGCTACCATGCCCAGCTAATTTTTGTATTTTTAGTAGAGACAGGGTTTCACTATGTTGGCCAGGCTGATCTTGAACTCCTGACCTCAGGTGATCTGGCTGCCTTAGCCTCCCAAAGTTCTGGGATTACAGGCATGAGCCACCACACCTGGCCGTAAGTACTGCATTTAGTGTGCCATGCTTGTAAATGTTTAACAAGTGGTTCTCTGGGAGGGAAAGCCCCAGTTTGTAGTGCTTGCTGATTTCTCTGGTGTAAATATACTCACTGTGGTCCACTTCAAGCTACAAAAATGACGTCACGGGACACAGAGTTGGCTAGAACTGTACATCATTTCATGGCATTTCCACCATGTAGATACAGTAGATGTAAATAACCTCACAAGCATGGATGACCAAATATAGTAAAATCATTGGAAAGTGATTTTTTGTATATTACATTTGTTTTCAATATAATTTAATTGTAAATGTATATAATTTAATTTTTAATGATGGTTGTGCTAACAATTAGCTTGCAAATTTTCTGTAAGTCTTATAATCAGCTCTCAAGAGCCAGCACCCTACTTTCATATGTCACTATGGAATGAAATCAAAGTGAGCTAGGGGGAGGGACTTGACTCTCGAGGCAGGGCTTAGACACTGGACCAAATTGAGGACTAGTTAAAACAGGTCCCAGGTGGGAGCAGCTTTCCATAAGACATACCCACCAGTGTGCCATGTCAGTTTGTTATTGCCATGGCAACAAGGCATTCACCACCCCTTATAATGACAATGACTCTACAACCCAGAAGTTACCACCCTTTTCCTAGATATTTCAGCATAAGCCACCCCTTAATTTGCATGTGATTAAAAGTGGGTATAAATATGAGTACAGAACAGCCTCCTCTGAGCTGCTATTCCAGGCACACTGCCTCTGGGGTATCCCTGCTCCACAAGGAGCAGAGGTGCTGCTGCTATACATTGCAGCTTCAATAAAAATTGCTATTTAACAACACCAGCTTGCTCTTGAATTCTTTCCTGGGCAAAGCCAAGAAACTTCCCGGACTAAGCCCCAATTTTGGTGCCTGCCTGCCTTACATCAATATCAGCACTAAAGTCCCAGTCAAACTTACCTAACTATATGGGATCTTCCAAAACACATTCACTACTGATTACTGTGTGCTAGTCACTTGATTGGGCATCCTCATTTGTTATATTTTATTTAGGATCACAAGAGCGTTTTAAAGTAGATTTCATTACCAATAATTTACAATGGATGAAGAAACTTTAATTTCCTTGAAATTAAAGCACAGCTTCCCAAATGCTAAGGTGCATATAAATCTCCTGAGAATTTTGCTAAAATTCAGATTCTGATCCAGCAGGTCTGGGTGGGCCTGAGATTCTGTATTTCTAACCAGCTCCCAGGTGATGCTGCTCCCAAGTCCATGCTAATAGTCCTCAGCCACACTCTGAGTCGCAAGTAGCTAAAAGACTTACCAAGCCAGCAGTGCAGGGAGTCCACCCCCTCCTCTCCTGTTTCATCTGCTGTTTTTAATTTAACCATTTAAGTGGCCCTGCTGAGGGGTAGGAGGAGTCTCAAACCTCTATCCTAGATTCCCCAATTTTATTCTAGTCATGCCTTACTATTGTTTTAAGTTCATCAATTCCATATGTGGAACATGTCCCCAGTGAAGTTTTTCCACATCATGGATTTGATTTTCTTTCTCTGAGTTTCAAATAATGAATACTCCCTCTCATCAAATAGAAGATTTTGTCCATGTACGTGGAGCGCTACTGTGGTGTTCTATTGTGTGCCTGAAGCATCTTTGGAAGTTGAAGAAGTACCATTTGAGTAAATGTTTATAGATTATCAACTCTTTGAGGGCAAAGGAAGGGGTTTGGGTAGAAGAATATGGGAAGAAATGCTAAAAAATTAAGTTGAGATGTGACTTTGGAAGGCTTTGAATTAGAGGCTGAGAGGTTGCATATTTATAGTGGGGAGCCATTGACCGAGAATTAAGAAATTACATGGTTACCTAGGTGATGGGTTGATAGGTACAGCAAACTACCACGGCACAAATTTACCTATAAAAAGAACTTTCACATTCTGCACATGTACCCCAGCACTAAAAATAAATTTTTTTTAATTACATGGTCAAAACAGAGTTTTAAGACTTAAGAAATTTACTAGTTAACACTAATTACCAATGTGACTGCTTAACCTTTGAATTTCATATTTACAATGTTACTATTCCAAAATAATTGTTAGTAATGTGGGTTATTTTGCAATGTTTAGTATTTGACATGTTCACTAGAATATAGTTGCATAATAGTAAAAGCATCAATTAAACAATGTTTATCCAATGAGCAGTCCTAATAACAGAAGGCCATCCTTTCAATTGAAGTGGAAAAGCATAAAACAAACATTGTTTTCTATGAAGAATTTTTTTTATGTATCCACTAACAGTGGATTAGGATATCTTTTACAACAAAACCAGGACATGATGAAAATAATAGTATTGGGCCCCAAGTCAACTCTCTGGGCTGAGGCAGCTTTGCAAACAGAAGGAAGAAAGGAAGGAAGGAGTCAGAGGTGGGTATGTGCCAAGTTCCTTACCTGTAATATCTCACTTAATCCTCTTTTCAGCTGAGTCAGATGGGTATTTTCCAGATGAAGACAGTGAATATAGTTGACTAGCTTGCCCAACATCATAGTAAGTAGTAAAGTCGTGATTAAACCCAGGTTACCAATTGTTTTCCTCTATTCAATGTACTGAGACAACTTTCCAAATCCCTAAACTGATAAAACCTGAGTCTCTCGAATCTGATGTGTGGAAGCTCTCTCTCCAGGGTGCTCCAAACAGACACTCCATAGGACAGTAACATGTGTGGTACCAAAGACAATTTTCACAAAGTTTCCAAGCAATGTTGAAAAAGGAAGGGGCTATATACTGAACACTGAATTTTGTTTTCAAAGTGAAAACACTCTTGGGTGAATAAATTGGTTGAAACTGTTAGTGCAAAGGCTGCAACTCACATGACGATGTAAGACCTGGATAGGACCATAGGGTATTCAGCACTGGGTGGCCTGGAAGAATTATTCCCACCCTGAACACCTGCCACAGTGTGGGACTGAGAAGGTACTTGAACCTGTGGGTGAATGGGGCTTATCATGCTGGAAACTGACACAGAATGTGCTGATGAAAAGTGCTACATGAACCTGGAGTCACAAATTCCCTTTGTAGCTATTATAGTCTGGGCCTCCCGGATTTACAAAATTTAACGTTAACCTCTAATTTTGTTTAGATTTCCATAACTTCTATGCATTTTCTACAGTCTCCACAAATCAAAATGAACTCGATTCCGTGTCTTTGTTTTTCTCCCTGCAGGTTTGGCCGTAAGCTCTGCCTCCTAACTACAATCCTCATAAATGCTGTGTCTGGAGTTCTCATGGCCATTTCCCCAACCTATACATGGATGTTAATTTTTCGCTTAATCCAAGGACTGGTCAGCAAAGCAGGCTGGTTAATAGGCTTCATCCTGAGTAAGAATGCTTGTGCTAGCAGTTGTGAGAACAAAGGAACCTCACTGCCAAAATAGAGTCAGGGTGGTGGGTGGCATCCGGAAAATGGGACCCAGCTTCAAGACAATATTGAGAGATTTTTTTTCTTTCTATATCATAAGAATTTCTAAAAGCATATCAACTCCCTCAGCCTTCCTCCTTATAAAGAAAAAACGTGAAGGCAGAAACAAGTGTGACATAATGCCATCCAGATTCTTACATAATTTTGTTTGGAATTTTTGTTTTCTGTACCCTGAAGTATTGTGTAGAAAGAAAATCCATTGCACCAGACTCATTCGTAAAGAAGATTCAATGATGAGAGATATAGTAGATTTATAAAGAGCTTTAATACTTTGCAAAAATCTATTCTAGTAAACTCTAATTATCTTCAACTTACATATAAGGAAACTGAAAACACAAGTCCTGTAGTCAACCTAGGTTACTCAGCCAGCCATTTTTAGAACCAGGAATATAACTTACATCCTATTCATTAGTAGCCAGAGTTATAGTTAAGTTCTATATACTACAAGAGAATATTTGATTTCTAACAGCATAGCATCTTTATAGCAATATTCTCACTATGACTGATACCAATGGGCTGAACCACCAGCTTGTAAAATACTCCAGCATGTAAAACCAGTTTTTGCAAGCCAGCACTATCTGACTTCAGCTCTCTGCTAAGTTACCAAGCCATTTATACAAATAAACAGGATTGCAAGATACATGTTAAACCCATGTAAGAGAACAAGTTATACTCAGGTGTTCATTTATGTAAAAATCATCTACAGTCTAAATTTAGTGTTTGATTCATTTGTTCAGGTCTTGAGTTACTACTCTAGGTCAAAATCTTGCATGTATCTGAAATACAACTGCATCATGGAAATTATAAATGAAATGTGTTTGCTTATGTTGGCAGGCCTTTCATCCCATCTACAATGGAACTAAAAGATTTATTAATTAATAAAACAGCAATAGTTATAACAAAGTAAAAACCAAAAAAAATCTAAAAATATTCAGAGAGCTGTATAGAATATTCTAGAATGTGTCTATATTTTTGAGGTTGGCATTCTAGTTTCCTGATAGTTGGACAGCCAACTCATTATTGTATTGAATTGCATTGACCATTTGAATTATCTCTGCAGTTACAGAATTTGTTGGGCTGAAGTATCGGAGAACAGTGGGAATTATTTACCAAGCTGCCTTTACGGTTGGGCTCCTGGTGCTAACTGGGGTGGCTTACGCACTTCCTCACTGGAGGTGGTTGCAGTTCACAGTTACTCTGCCCAACTTCTGCTTCTTGCTCTATTACTGGTAAGTCCATTTGGAAAAAAAAATGAAAGAAATCAAAGTATTTTATTTTGCTAAGAAGGCTACCTTCCTTAATGCACACTATCCTGATTCTGAGATTGCTTTCATTCTGTATTTTATTTTGCTAAAAACGCTACCATCCTTAATGCACACTGTCCTTCTGATTCTGAGATTGCTTTCATTCTGTATTTTATTTTGCTAAAAAGGCTACCTTCCTTAATGCACACTGTCCTTCTGATTCTGAGGTTGCTTTCATTCTCTAGGCCCATTTCACAAAGAGTCCAAGTCCGTGTTTCAGGGATAAAAATCACAAACTTCACCTGTCTCTCCCTCTATAAATCAAATGTCCTTTCTCTTTGGGTTTAAAGTTTTTATGACCTGGATCTTGCAATACCAGCATCATTTATTTGGTGTTTAAATTAGCTTCTAGTCACTGTGGTACAATTTGGACTCTAGGGCCTTTGAAGAGACTGAAAATATCACTATTACTATTCTCTCCCTCCCCCAGGGAAAACTTTAGGGTGGAGAAAGCAGAACATGACACTTGTGTCACCATTTCCCAACACTCGTGCCCAAGGCAGACATCCCCAGTTAATTACAGTGTTCTTCATCCCAGATAAGGCCAACATGACACTCCAGACAGACCATACCAATCAATCATAGTTACCAAATGTATTTGTCATCTCTGCCCAAGGGAAACACTTGGAAAATACCAGAAACTATTAGAAACCCCTAATGTGAGATTATCTGAAATAAAACAAAGGGGATATTAGATTATCAGACCAAATCTCTCTCCATGCAACAAACCCACTTATTTAGTTCCCCTTGGATTCAGCCACTTGTTATTCCAATGGCTGTCTTCCCTAAGAATTAAACGTCTCAATCCTTTCCAGGATGCCTGTTTCTTATCCAAAAGCCAGTAAAACTCTGTGTCTTAGCAGCTCAGGCTAAGCAGCTGTGACAAAAAGACCATGGACTGGGTACTTACAAATATATTTCCCATAGTTGTGGAGGCTGGGAAGTCTAAGATCCAGGTGCTGGAGAATTTGTTCCTGATGGGAGCCCACTTCCTTGCTTGCATATGTCCCACTTGTGGGCCCTCACATGGCAGAGAGAGAGAGAGAGAGAGAGAGAGAGAGAGAGAGAACATTCTAGTCTCTATCTCCCTTCTTATAGGGACATCTGGGGTCCCCACCCTCCAGATCTCATCTAAACTTAATTACCTCCCAAAGGCCCCAACTCCAAATTGCACACTGGGGGTGAGGGCATCAGTGCATGAGCTTGAGGGGGGACAGAGACATTCAGTCCATTACACTCTGAGAGTGACCCTTCCTGCTCTCTCCGTTACACTTCCACAAAAACATCCATTTCAGATTCCTTTTAAACCCTGCCTCTCAGAGCAACTTCTCTCCCAGAGTGATGATCCCAGCTGAGGCGTTCCTACATTCACACTGTAACTGCCACAGCAGCCCTACCACCCCCTGTCTCAGCTTCTCCTCCTCCCATTCAACCTGAACTCATTCACCTTGAACCCAGCTACCCAGTGTCCCCTCCAGAGTCAGAGTCAATGGTTTTAGTCTTCCTCAAAAACTTGCAAGAGCTCCTCAAGCCCTGCTGCATCAAGCTCAAACTATGCAATCTGTCTCTGTTCTCTTCCCATCTGACCAAATGCTTACCTCATTCCTTTGGGAAACTAAGCATAATAATATACATACTTGCTCCCCACCCCCGTAATGGTTTGCATGCTCCAATGTCCAGTCCTTGACCCCTCTGCCAGTTCTCAGGCCTTTGCAAAGCCCAGGGCCACCCAGACTTGCCTCTCCTCCTTGCAACAGGAGTTGGATGTGCAGCTGCACCCTGCTTTGCAGCTTGCTTCCCTGTGTTTCTGCTTAGAAATCTCTGAGGAGGGAACCTGAAGAATTCCTGGACAACGCTGACTACAAGTCAGTATTTGAGGGAGGAAAGAACCATGTATCACCCTACATGAGTGCTGTTTTCTTTGTAGATCCAACTGTTAAGATCCTCGAAGAAATCTGATTATAAAAAATTGAGGGAAGGGGTAAGGAAGATTCCTTAAGATTTGCCCTCCACTCACCTTATACCCTAGGTGCATACCTGAGTCTCCCAGGTGGCTGATCTCCCAGAACAAGAATGCTAAAGCCGTGAGAGTCATTAAGCACATCGCAAAGAAAAATGGAAAATCTCTAACTACCTCCCTTCAGGTGAGCCAGAGCCGTAAGGTCAAATTAGGGAACAGGAAAAAGGGAGGGTCTGGGAAGACTCATGCATGCCAGTGATCTCAGCCCAGAGCCATGGAAGACCCACCCCCTTGCATTTTGGCTTACCTGTAGTGGAATGCGAGAGTATTTTATGTACTACGATTTGTGGTTCCGTGGGAGAACAGTTCAAATAGGTGGAAAACATGAAACTAAAAGGGAACCAGAAACCATTTAAAGGTCAAATGAGGAGCTTCTGTCTCACAAGATGCTTTCACCAGCCTCCTATGCCCAGGTGCCCATCACTCCCATCGTCTGCATATTAACCATCCTCAGGTCAGATTCATAGATCAGTAAAGCAGTTCTTTAAACACACATGATTTCTTACAATTTTGTACACCTTGGATAGAAAGTGTCCCCAAAGCTTTTTTTGTTTGTTTTTTGAGATGAAGTCTTGCTCTGCTGCCCAGGCTGGAGTGCAGTGGCACCATCTCACCTCACTGCAATCTCTGCTTTCCTGGTTCAAGCAACTCTCCTGTCTCAGCCTCTCTAGCAGCTGGAATTACAGATGCGTGCCACCACGCCCAGCTCATTTTTGTATTTTTAGTAGAGACAGGTTTTCACCATGTTGGCTAGGCTGGTCTCGAACTCCTGACCTCAGATGATCCGCCCACCTCGACCTCCCAAAGTGCTGAGATTACAGGCATGAGCTACGGCACTCAGCTCAATAGCTTTTAAGCAATCCCCTGCCTTCTTAAACAGAATCCGGTTACAGAAGTGTTCATTATCTATGTTTAGTGTTTGCCTTTAGTAGATCCCGCTACATTGACCTTAAACCTTTTCTTTCCACAGAGGCTGAAAAAGAGATTAAGCTTATTAGAAAACAGGCTGGATGCGATGGCTCATGCCTGTAATCCCAGCACTTTGGGAGGCGGAGGCAGGCAGATCACCTGAGGTTGAGAGCTAGAGACCAGCCTGGCCAGCATGGCGAAACCCCATCTCTACTAAAAATATAAAAATTGGTAGGGTGCAGTGGCTCATGCCTGTAATCCCAAAACTTCGGGATGCCAAGGCGGACAGATCGCAAGATCGGGAGTTCAACACCAGCTTGGCCAACGTGGTGAAACCCCGTCTTTACTAAAAATGCAAAAATTAGCCAGGTGTGGTGCTGCATGCCTATAAATCTTAGCTACTTGAGAGGCTGAGGCAGGAAAATCACCTGAACCTGGGAGGCAGAGGTTGCAGTGAGTGGAGATCATGCCATTGCACTCCAGCCAGGGCAATAGAGTGAAACTGCATCTCAACAAAACAAAACAAAACAAAAAAATTAGCCAGGCGTAGTGGCATACAACTGTAATCCCAGCTACTTGGGAGGCTGAGGCAGGAGAATCACTTGAACTCTGGAGGCAGAAGTTGCAGTGAGCCGAGATTGCTCTATTGCACTCCAGCCTGGCGACAGAGCAAGACACCAAAAAAAAAACAAAAACAAAACAAAAAAAAAAAAAAAAACAAAGATGAAATGAGACACAGTGTGGAAAGTGCTTGTTCTGGTGCTGAGCACGAGATGTGCACTCAGCAGGGGTAAGGAATTATTGGTATTCCCTACGTGACCCAGGGACACCAGCATTAAATATACCAAGCCATCCTTTCTATTTCTTTTCTTAGCACCTGAGACTTGAAGAGGAAGCTGGCAAGAAATTGAACCCTTCATTTCTTGACTTGGTCAGAACTCCTCAGATAAGGAAACATACTTTGATATTGATGTACAACTGGTAAGGAATATTTTTCACCTTGAAATGGCTCCAAATTCTTTTAATCACAATCATCCATATTAAGGGAGGGAAGAAAACCTGACCTCGCACCCATATTAGCACCGACGGTGGGCAGCAATGTGTGGCTCGTGTCTAGTAGGCTTTCCTGATCATGTTTTTCTCGGGCAAATACTAACATCAGTGTAGTCCCTAAGCACAGATCAAGGCAATCCAACCTCGGATTCACATTGGAATCACCCAGAAGCTTACAAAATACCAAGCCCCAAACCCCTAGAAATACCGATTTAGTTGTTCTAGAGTAGGGCTCAGGAACCAGTGGTTTTTAAAATCTCCAGGTGATTCTAATAAATAGCCCAGATAGAGAACTATTGGTACAACTTAACTGATGATGAATGTAGATCTCTATCATAGAGCTGGCCAAAAAAAGTCTGGGGGGAAGGAGGATGCCTTTTCTTTTTTCTTTTCTACTTAGAAGAAAAAATAAATGTATGAACAGGAATAATCCCCAAGAATAATTCCAGTGGCTTCACACCCAGTGACTTGATTTTTTTTTTTTTTTTTTTTTTTGAGACGGAGTTTTGCTCTTGTTACCCAGGCTGCAGTGCAATCGCGCGATCTTGGCTCACCGCAACCTCCGCCTCCTGGGTTCAGGCAATTCTCCTGCCTCAGCCTCCTGAGTAGCTGGGATTACAGGCACGTGCCACCATGCCCAGCTAATTTTTTGTATTTTTAGTAGAGACGGGGTTTCACCATGTTGACCAGGATGGTCTCGATCTCTTGACCTCGTGATCCACCCACCTCGGCCTCCCAAAGTGCTGGGATTACAAGGCTTAAGCCAGACTCGATCTTTATTGTGTTTGCTGTCTCTGAGCTGCTCTCAGAGCTTTGGGCCATGCCCTTTCCAGTGGGGGATGCATCCTTTCAGGGCACATTGGATATCCACCCAGGCAAATGGAAATTTACAATCACTGACAAAAGCAAAGCTTGTCAGGAATTAATTTAGCAACCTTTACAATAGTGCATGGGAAAGACAGCTTTGAAATTGGGCTTCATTATTCTTCTTTTTTTTCCCCAGTAATTGTGACTTTCATTGATTATCCTCATATTTTCCATTACATGTAATAATCATTTTTAGTTAATAAAGCTAGAAACATTTTCCAAATGTTGTTTGTATCAGGCTGGAAGAGAAGTCATCAAGAAGCGGACCTGTACTCATTTGGTCTTCTGGTTTGCCTAAAATTTGAATTAAGTAGTCAGTTCTTTTGATCTCAACTGCACTAGAGTACCCCAAAGAGAGAAATAATTCACGACCACTAATAACTTGACATAGTTTTACTAAATAAATTCCATCGGCCAGGCGTGGTGGCTCATGCCTGTAATCCCAGCACTTTGGGAGGCCGAGGTGGGCAGATCATGTGAAGCCAGGAGTTCAAGACCAGCATGGCTAACATGGCAAAACCCCATGTCTACTAAAAATACAAAAATTAGTGGGGTGTGGGGGTGCATGTCTGTAATCCCAGCTACTAGGGAGGCTGAGGCAGGGAAATAACTTGAACCCAAATGGTAGAGTTTGAAGTGAGCCAAGATCACACCACTTCATTCCAGCCTGGGCAATAGAGTGAGACGCTGTCTCAAAAAATAAAGAAAATAGAAAACAAAAGTCATTCCATTAAGACATTCTTCTTGGCTTTCCAGTTTGTCTAGGAAACATTATTCTAATTTCTAATTATTTCTGACTATCCTAATCTCTTCCCTTCTTCTGGTTCTTGGAAACCAGCCAGCCACAGCCAGCCACTGAAGTGGATCAGAGATTATAAAAGCAGTGGGATGGGGTGACTAGCAAGGAGACAATCACAGGGAAAGGTGACCTACAATCCACATTATTTCTCCAGAAGCCTCTCTTTTTTGGTTGCCTGTGTTTGGTGCTTGGCTTGACCTGACCTCTCCTCTTTGCTCAGGTTCACGAGCTCTGTGCTCTACCAGGGCCTCATCATGCACGTGGGCCTTGCAGGGGACAATATCTACCTGGATTTCTTCTACTCTGCCCTGGTTGAATTCCCAGCTGCCTTCCTCGTCATCCTCACCGTCGACCGCATCGGCCGCCGTTACCCTTGGGCTGTGTCAAATATGGTGGCAGGGGCAGCCTGTCTGGCCTCAGTTTTTACCCCTGGTGGTAAGTTTCAGGCCAAGTTGAAGTTTTGTCTCCAAGACCCTGAAGAGAGGGAGTGTCACAGCCCATTGATAGGAAAACCGTGTAATTTGTCATCTAAATCAATTTGGAAAGACAAGTTGGGGGCCAGTGTCTGGGACCCTTCTGAGCAAATTTATATGGCCAGCCTCCCTTGAGGAAAAATTGCACCCAATTGTTTCTTGGTATGATATAACAAGAGAGATGACAGAGCCCCATGCTACGGGCCATCAAGATGACCTGGAGCAGAGAGCATGGGCCGTGGGGTGGAGCAGGCCCATGTCAAGGTCTTACTCCAGCACTTCCGAGGTGTTAATTAGGGGACTCTCTTGACCTCCCTGCATCAACCTGCAGAATAAATGAGAAAAATGTAAGTAAACCCCATCCATAAACAGCTATTCAGTTCCTTTTTTCCTGTTCAAATGCTTTCTTAATTAGGGGAACAAACACCTGTATAAGAGAATCCTTTTAGCAATATGGAGCTTTATTTGAATCCATTAGTTATTAGCAGTTGTTTAAATGTGCCTATGATTTGCTCTTTCTTTGACCTCTGTAGACTAAAGTTGGCCCAGCTTTGGAAACTGGTACAACTCCATCGTCATTAACAACTGAGGCCTAAAGTTAAGAGAACACAGAGGGTTTTTAGAGCAGTGAAATTGTTCCATATGATACTAAAATAGTGGATACAGATCATTATGCATTTGTCCAAAACCACAGAGGTATACCACCAAGAGTGAACCCTAATGCCATCTATGGATTGGGGTGATTATAGTTGTCACTGAAGGTTCAACAGGTAACAAACGTACCACAGAGTGGAGAATGTTGATAATGGACGGGGAGTAATGCATGTGTGGGGGCAGAGGTTATGTGGGAAAGCTCTCTATTCCTCTCCATTTTGCTAGGAACCTAAAACTGCTCTAAAAAATAGTCTTTTTAAAAAGAGAGAATTAGCATTGTGTCTGAGGTTAAGATGAATGAACATGAGAATCTGCTGACATTAACATGAGTCTATAGAAGACGTCATTTTTCTTTCTTGTCCCGTTCCGGAATTGGGAATTTCTCCTTGCAAATCCCCCTCTGGAGCATTGTCTGAAGATGAGAAATTATCTATCTATGGATAAATGGTGTGCTTTTCCCCTTTAGATCTTCAGTGGCTAAAAATTATTATCTCATGCTTGGGAAGAATGGGGATCACAATGGCCTTTGAGATAGTCTGCCTGGTCAATGCTGAGCTGTACCCCACGTTCATTCGGTGAGTGTATTTTCCTTAGCATAAAGAGGGTGGGCGGGACATTTGTCCATTGACTGGAAGCACCACAGGTGCAGACAGAGGACACCTTCCCTTCGGAATACAACACTTAAAGGTCCAGCCAGGCCCAGTAGTTGACCTCTCACACTTACAGGCTGGGGTAAAATACGGAAGCCACGGTAAGAACAGAAAACTGAATTGCAAGACAGGGATTATCCAATGGCTACTGGGGAGATTGATTTGAAACAGCACAAACAGGTCCATAGGAATAGCTTAGGGAAGCCAGGTGACGGAAGTAAAAAGAAACAATTGCTCCTCCCAAAGTTAAAAAAAAAAATCTTAAAGTTTATGTAAAACAAAAGTGATGGACTATGAATGGAATTATATATATATATAAATATCCATGTTGTGCATTGAAATTAACATAAATAATTTTTAAAATTCTTGAACATTTAATTTTTTTTTATTTCAATAGGTTTTTGGGAAACAGGCCATGTATGGGTACATGAATAAGTTCTTCAGTGGTGATGTCTGAGATTTGGGTGCACCTCTCACCTAAGCAGTGTACACTGTAGCTCTCGAACATTTTAACGATTTGAAGAAGTATTTATTCAGGGGTGGGTGGGAGACAACTGCTGCACTGTGAAAAGTTAACAAGTTACACCCATTTCCTGCACCCTAGGAATCTAGGCGTCCTCGTCTGTTCGTCGATGTGTGACATTGGTGGCGTCATCACGCCATTCCTGGTCTACCGGCTCACTGACATTTGGCTTGAGCTCCCGCTGATGGTTTTTGGTAAGAAATCTTCATAGATGTCTTTAAATGAAAACTTATGTTTCTAGAGACCTTCACTTCTCTACCTCAAAACAGGTGTCATGCCTATTAGTAACTACTAATTACTACTACTGGTAGTAATGATGTGTCTGCAGCTTGCATTCTTCTCAGACGTGCCTAGTAATTAGTAATATTATTAGTATTAGTAATACTAATCAATAATATTAGTTCAGTATTCCTAATATTATCAGTCACTACTAATACCCAAGTATGGGACTCCTGCCATAGTGGCAGAAGGTTGAAGAGAAGAATGAGAAGGGAGAAAGTTTCCCAGCAGCAGGCCCCTAACTCTCTCTCTCTCTGCTGATTTCCATCCTTCCTGAGGTCTCTGTCAAAGAGTTAACTCCTCCATGCCCAGAGGCGGTGAAACACAAAGCCCTTTTACTTCTTACTTCAAAGAAAGAGGTTAAAATTTTATAAAAGGCAATTTCAAAACCCAGAGGAAATAAAGACCACATTAAGAAAGCCCATCAGCATAATGGATCACCTGTGTCAATGCACCTGCAGCGATTAGCTTTCAGGAGCATCACACAACACTTCCCTTCTGCTACTGCCAGCAGGAACACACCAGCTCTGAGCTGTCTCTGGTTAACTGGAACACCTCAGTGCACCCATTTCAGTCTCCTTTGACACCCATTCTGAGCTGCTTTTAATTTGAATATGTTATGCTTTTTCCCATGGGCATGTAACACTCAATTTAGGGAAAGAGAAGAGGAAAAGACTTCACTCTCCGATGCACATGGGGGTGGAAAGGAAAATTTAAAAATCTCAGGACCCCAAAATCCTTATGCAAAAGGGAAGACTAAACCTGGAGGCTGAGTCATGCAACACCCTCTTCCAGATGAATAGCTGTTACAAGCATTATACCTTCTGCCTCAGGCGTCTACAAAGGACCTCCCCTGCGGATCATTCATCCATAAATTCTTTGCTTGTAGACAAGAATTTTAGGTCTACAGTCTAAGCTTGGCTCCTAAAACTAAAGTCTGTTGATTCCACACTGATCATGTTCATTGCAAGCTTACCTCCTGAGATACAGAGCAAAGACAAGTCATCCCAGAGAGGCCTGCATAACTGATTCTTCCTTTACTCCCATTTTCTCTTCAAACATTCACCTTATCATATGTAAACTGTACACCTAACTGGGCACTAGCTAAAGTCTCACAAGAATGGAACCATTTCTTTACAGCCTACACGCCACTCTCCCTTCCTGCCTCCCTACTTGAAGGAAATGTATAAATACTTACCTCCTGAAAGCCTCTTTGCAGAAACAGCCACTGATGTGTCTGTGGCTCATGGTTTTCAGGGACATGCGCTAAAGCTGACTTAATAAGCCTTGCCTGATTGGGACTTTTTCCTCAGTCACTCATTTGGATTATCAGGAGAAGCTCCTACCACTTCATTCCTCAGGCTGCACAATGCCCCACACAGCTATCCTGTTCATTCCTTCTCTTATCCTTCTCATGGAATTTGTGAGGGGGAAAATTTTCCACCGCTCTAGATCTGCAAGCAAAATTTCCAAACCATTGGAAAACAGATCCAGTGAATTCCTCCACGATCCAGTCTAATAGCAATAAGACAGCCAAAGTTGACAGAGCACAACGTCTTTATCCTGAGATAACTTGGCCACAGAGTAGCTGGCATTTCTCTTGAGACATATGTGCCCCCTATTCCTTTCTCCCCCAACACTGGCTAAGGAACCTGTCCCTAGAACCCTCTTTTCATCTTGAGGAGGTGCCCATCCCACCCTCTGGACTCCTTCCTGCCATGGAAGAAGTTAGAGACCACTCAGTCTTGGCTACTCCCTTAGGTGGACAGTGGGTGGCCAATGAGTCAGCAGGACATTTTTGGATAGCAAATGGTTACTTTGTTACTGGAAAGGGGTCCTGACCCAGACCCCAAGAGGCGGTTCTTGGGTCTCACACAAGAAAGAATTTGAAGTGAATCCATAGACTAAAATAAAAGCAAGTTTATTAAGAAAGTAAAGGAATAAAGAATGGCTACTCCATAGGAAGAAGAGCAGCATGGGCTGCTCGACTGTGTATACTTATAGTTACTTCTTCGTTATATGCTAAAAACAAGGGGTGGATTATTCATGAGTTTTCTAGGAAATGGATGGGCAATTCCTGTAACTGAGCATTGTTCCCCTTTATAGACCATATAAGGCGACTTCCGGGCATTACCTTGGCATCTGTAAACTGTCATGGTGCTGGTGGGAGTGTCTTTTCACATGCTAATGCATTATAATTAGTGTATAATGAGCAGTGAGGATGACCAGAGGTCACTTTCATCACCATCTTGGTTTTGGTGGGGTTTGGCCGGCTTCTTTACCACATCCTATTTTATCAGCAAGGTCTTTGTGACCTGTATCTTTTGCTGACCTTCCATCATCCTGTGACTAAGAATGCCTAACCTCCTGGGAATGCAGCCTGGTAGGTCTCAGCTGCATTTTTCCCAGCCCCTATCCAAGATAGAATCACTCAGGTTCAAACACCTCTGATAATTACATGTTTCTCTAAGTGCTATTTAAAAAAGCAATGCAAAGTTCAGGCCAAGAGCAACCAGCTTGATCCTTGTTCCTGCCTGACACCTTCCTGCAGAAAAGATACAGGATTATAACTACAGTTCAATATTTAAAGTAAACTCAAAGACAATTGCAGTTTTATTCTTGAAAGTCATTTCATATTATTCCCTCACCATTCTTTAATATGAGTAGCTAACAGAAAGCAAACCTAATAGTTTTGCATTTTAACTTCTTTCCCTTTCTTTTCCACACAATAATAACATACTAATTGTGGTCTTGAAATAGCCATAAAATGATAATCGAAGAACACTGAAAGTCAACACATTAGAAAATACTGGCTGAAAGAGCACTGGGAACATCAGTAAGGATTATTCTGGTTAATTAGGACTGTCTTTGCAAATATAAAATGCCAGATGAATGGCAATTTGATTAATCAGTTGTATTTATCATGATTCACTCACTTCAGAGATTCAGATGCCCACTGAATGTGTTTCTTGTTTGCATTAGTTACAATACAATAAGGAAGTGAATCTCGGGAGGCTTGGAGAGAGATTTTGAGAGGTTAATTATTTAGTAGGCAATTCCGTTGTTTATACCATGTGCCAGGTACTATTCTAAGCCCTGACAATATTAATTCATTTCAGCCTCATAACAAGTCCGGCTTGTTACCAGAAAGGGGTCCTGATCCAGACCCCAAGAGAGGGTTCCTGAACCTCACACAAAAAAGAATTCACAGCAAATCCATAGAGTAATGTGAAAGCAAGTTTATTAAGAAAGTCAAGGAATAAAAAATGGCTACCTTACAGGCAGAACAGCCCTGAGGGCTGCTGGTTGCCCACTTTTATGGTTATTTCTTGATTATATGCTAAACAAACAGTGGACTACTCATGAGTTTCTTATTTTTAGACCATATAGGGTAACAGCCTGATGTTGGCGTGGCATTTGTAAACTTCATGGCACTGGTGGCAGTGTAGCAGTGAGGACTAACAGAGATCACTCTCATCACCATCTTGGTTTTGGTGGGTTACAGCCGGCTTCTTTATTGCAGCCTGTTTGATCAGCAAGAACTTTATGATCTATATATCTTGCGCTGACCTCTTATCTTATCCTGTGACATAGAATGCCTTACTGAATGCAGCCCACTAAGTCTTAGTCTTGTTTTACGCTTATCCTGTATTTCTACAAAAAGGGTCCAACAGCAATATATTCCACAATAGTAAAGCAAAATAAGCAAAATTATCCTAAGTAAACTAAATTAGAAGGCTTTCCATGAACCTGGCAATTGTTGAAACCATGCTGATATGGGGTCACTAGGTGATTCCAATGTGACCAGAATTAGAATATTGATCCAGATTTTTATATTACCCATCCCTCTTGTTTCTTCTTCTTTTTTTTCTTTTCTTTTCCTTTTTTTTTTTTTTTTTTTTTTTTTTTGGTGAGACAGTCTCACCCTGTCGCCCAGGCTGGAGTGCAATGGTGCGATCTTGGCTCACTGCAACCTCTGCCTCCCAGGTTCAACTGATTCTCCTGCCTCAGCTTCCCAAGTAGCTGGGATTACAGGCACCAGCCACCACACCCAGCTAATTTTTGTATTTTCAGTAGAGATGGGGTTTCACCATGTTGGCCAGGATGGTCTCGAACTCCTGAACTCGTGATCCACCCACCTTAGCCTCCCAAAGTGATGGGATTACAGGCATGATGCACGGCGCCCAGCCCCCTCTTGTGTCTTCTGAGGTGCAGGAATCACTAGTTGGAATGAGCAGGGTCAGTCTACATTGCAGGAGGAAAAAAAGCTTAAAACAACTGATGAGACTAGAATATAACAACAGGTGTACCATTGTTCTTGAAACATAATTTTTCTCTCTCCAGTTTCCCATTTTTACTAAAGACAAATCATGGTCAGACTGATTTGCTTTATTATACTTGGCCTGATTATTTGTATAAAGTGCAGCAAAAATAATTATTTTTCACATAAGCTTTTTAAATTGACTTTGACAAAACTTTGTTCCATAAAAGGAATCTCAGATAAGATGTTTTTTTTCAAAGCCAAGCCCATCCATGGGTTTGTACCCTCAAATACCAATGATTTTAGTAAATTTCTCTCCTCTTGAGGTCTCCAAATAACTCAGGGCTCCTGGGCCTGTCAGAAAGTGATATTTTTTACTTACCACAGGTCAGGAACCCTGTATGGGGACTATGGAGACAAGGTATGATGCCAGTTTTCCCACGGGGCTTTTATTGGCTCTACAAGTTAAGCTTAATTCCTTAAAGGGAAGCACACCATTCAATCAAAGCCTTGGTAAAAATAACCAGTTTCTCCAATTGTGTCTTGTTGCAAAAGAAAACAGATTTTTTAGTTACACTTATGCAAATAACTATATTGCTGTAAGTTAAGAATACTCACAAATAGTTTTCAAATTCTAGAGAAATCATGTAGAGA